AAATTTTCTATTAAATAATTAATATTTTGTAGCCATCTTAATATATAGCCTAAATGGCTTTGTAGTCATTTTCTAGGGTACAATTTTAAATCTACTTTTTGGACACTTCAATGTTTGTGGTATGTGGTATTTCGGTATTTTCAGTACCGTCGGTATTAGTTGCATAATAAATACTTAAAAAATAGGTAGATAATCAAACAAAGATGGAAGTATCAAGTTTACAAGAATAATGACAAACGAAAGGGATAATATACATTATCTCACGCAACAGTACAACATTTATCCATCTCTACCCCATATCTATATGGTCCGTAGTGGTCGCAAAGTGGTCTTGTGCCCGATCGGGCCAGCGCCACAGGCAGGATCCTGGTAATGAGAAGTCTACGCTAACTCATGGGATCCCATACACAGATCACACAACGAATGGAGAAGTGAAAGGATCACTAATGCGGCTGGTACCTCTGAGAGTCTAGTGGGTACAGTCCAAACAAGAAATTATCTATGGTCATGTCACACGAACCAACGGCCTATCCAAAACAATATCGCAAGACACTGTGCCAGGATGGAGAAGAAGGGGAAGGCAAGGACGCCATTAAGGACTGGAGGGGCTGCCCGTCTCAGAACGAATCAGAGTGACAGAGAACAAAGATAGATGGCGTAGAATTATACGGTCAACTGTGGTGTCCCAACGAACTCAACACGGGTTAAGCGGGAATAGTGAATGTAACTCAATAATTTAGGGAAACTTTGTTACAGTGTTGTACATATGAATGCCTTAAAATTGTATTACCTTTTGAAATAAAATTGTTAATTTTTACATTTCTTTAAATTATTTTTAAAAATGTCCATTACTAATAAGACTTTTAAAATCCTGTACTTCTTGTTTGTAATATCCTGATGTATAATGACAATATCATACCCGTCCCGCATGTTGCTGCGGTCTCAAAAAGAGTTGAAGAAGGGGTGGAATATGGATATGGTTAGGATGGGCATAATGAGAGCGTGGTTTTATATATATATATATATATATATATATATATATATATATATATATATATATATATATATATATATATATATGGGGGGGTATGTGTGTACACAACACAACCCAGTTACTAGAAAAAAGTAAAAGTGCGACTTTAAAATAAATGATGTGAATCCCATCATCAATAGAAACAGGTGTGTGTGTTAGAAGAAAGAATGTGTAAGCAAATTTGGTGTCAACCTTATTCGTCAAAACATGCTAATAAGCAAACATTTTGCTCGATTCAACAATTTAAAAAAAAAACGATTCATCGATGTAGAGAGAAAAAATAAAGCAGTAATTGCAGATATGTATAGGGCAGTGCAAAGATCAATGGAAATGTGTCAATGGTGAAGAAGCTGACAGATACAAGTCGGCTATCTCCATCTCAACAACTTTATATTTCTATGACTCAATGCACTCGAGTGCAGGAGCGGCGACAGCCTTTGTTAGAGTGGGGTGGTATGGTTGGTTAGGATAATTATGGTGTGAGTAGAGTTTCAATGAAGGAAAAGATAAAAATGGTGTGAGTAAAGTTTCAATGAAGGAAAAGATAAATATGACGTAAGGTTTCAATGAAGGAAAATATAAATATGACGTAAGGTTTCAATGAGCGAAAAGAAAAATATGATGTGAATTAATAAAAGAGTTGAGATGGGTTTTCAAAATTAGACATAATGATGATACACAATTTAATATGTTCTTTTATTATATAAACTTTTTTTAAACAGACATGCTGAGTGTAGATGGTTAGCTGATACATTTTTCTTGTGTTCACGAAGAGAATACATGGCTAGTCAAGTCACAGGTTTTGGGTTTACCTGTTACCAGATATCAAGCCAAGTCTAAAGCAATCTGCTATGTTAAATATGAAGTGAAGCAGACGACAGACCGTGCATACCGCCATTTCGCATCGAAACACGGGACTAGGGTCGCAAACACGAATTCAAACTCGAGCTTAATAGCAGAAACTGTACATCTAATTAATTATAGGTAGAAATAATTTAATAAATCACAATTTATGGATTTGATTTGATTTTTATTTGAAAACCATACAATTGGCTCGAATTAAGAAACATGAATAAACGTCAATCATTTAATTCAAGTGACTAATTAAGAAACATGAAAAACGTCTTTCATTCAAATTAATTGACTAACCGAATAAAACATGATCAAAATGTCTACATTTTTACAATCAATGAAACGTTTGTCTAGCTGAAGTCACAAGGTGAACTGGGCACCCACGTGACAATCTCTGGACAGGTTATCAACAAGTGGGCGTCTTCCAGATAACCAGGACGGGCTAGGTGTGGGGGTGGGAGGGTACGATAAGAGAGCATCTCTAGTGTCATGACAAGATGGCTCCCGATAATGAGGCTAGCTACAACAAGATGGCGGCCGATAGATGAGACTAGCTAGAGCTTGTCCTGTGACCTTACACCACAGAAATACTCCCAGTCTTTCATCTTCCTACAAGAGGGCTTTTATATTGTTTATACAGCACAAACAATGTAATGATAGTAGTTTGAAAGTCGTACAGTACAAAGTACTGGTAGCTTGTTCTGGCTGCTCTTGTATCTACCTCTTGTTGTATAAGGTGTTTGGTTACCTAGTCTTGTGGTGGTAACACAGGTCAATAGCCAATACAACCAGTTGGGTTAAGACTTCTTGTTAGATAATGACGGCTGTAGGGCTGTTTGCTTATTTACTTATCTTGGTAATACCACGTGACAACCCACACTTTAATACTAGATGTTCAAGTGGTTAGACAACTTCAGAGGGTAATAAGAGGTAATTAGTTACTTTTGTTGTACACTACAGGTAATACAAGGTAATTAGGTACTTTTGTTGTATGTTGCAGGTAATACAAGGTAATTAGATACTTTTGTGGTAAGCTGCAGGTAATGCAAGGTAATTAGTTACTTTTGTTGTACACTACAGGTAATACAAGGTAATTAGGTACTTATGTGGTAAGCTGCAGGTAATGCAAGGTAATTAGGTACTTATGTGGTAAGCTGCAGGTAATGCAAGGTAATTAGGTACTTATGATGTACATTGCAGGTAATACAAAGTAATTAGATACTTTTGTGGTAAGCTGCAGGTAATACAAGGTAATTAGGTACTTTTTGTTGTACACTACAGGTAATACAAGGTAAATCATGTAATAGGCCTATAAGGTGTAGGTACCCCTGGAGGTAATACAAGGTAAATTGGTACTCTAGTACACTGCAAGTAATAATCAGTAACTGAATGAGAGCTTCATTCCCATGGTGAAGTCATACAACTCAGGAATGTGTTTAATCTATCCTGGTGTAACTTCTGGTTTTGCATTATTTTATCTTTTTATTAATGCTCTGTTTATATTTATTTATAAGTCTTTACCCACTTGAAAAATATATGATGTGTTGTCTAAGTAAAATTATTAATAACTTTCAGAGCCCTGCTTTAGCACAGCAGCCTTGAGTCCAATTATTTAGCTTAGTTGTATATGTACATGTTTAGGGTTTGTTATATATTTTCATTATTTGTGGTCATAGATTTTAATTTTATTAAAAATTTAGAGTAGTGTATCCACAAAACTACACAAGAAGTTCCCAACAGAAGAAATCTCAAATTGGCTCTTGACAAAAGGGTCCATGACAATATGGCTCCACACTATAAATAAGGCTCCTAACCCAAGAGTATGCAGAGTCCCACAGCAAGGAAGAGCTTTGGATTTTCCAAGACCTATATGGGAGCTCAGTTAATGAACTGCAATAATTGTATATAGAGCTAGAGGAGTTAAATAACACAAGGCAGGAGTGCCATCAACAACGGGAGCTTAATTAAGGACAGAAAATAAAAATTCAGAAGCATACTTTCCCATTAAGTTGCAATATAGCAAAATCTTAATATATAATTACAAACTTCAAGGTAGGGAGTCACCATTTTGTCAAGAGCCATACTGGTGGGAGACATTTTGTCAGGTACTATGTTCATAAAAAAAACTCTGTTCTAAGCAGTGGCAAGGTTTGTTCAATGTTAAATTGTTTTAGTATATTTGGTTCATAGAAATATTTGTGTTTGTTATATATTTAAAGCTTAAGACTTTTAAAAATAGTTGTATTTGAGTATACTTGAAACAAACAGAGATACAAAAGACACATAAAAATGATTTATGAATGTTCAGAACTAGAACATTGTACGGTAGATGTCAAATGAATAAGAAGCCCTAAACTGCTGAATTTGTACCCGAGTGTCAAACATTCAGTGAGACATTACAGATGGTTGTAATCAAGAAAAAGTACTCACAGCTTTAGCAAGATTGAGGTAGGTCAAACATTGAGTGAGACATTACAGATGGTTGTAATCAAGAAAAAGTACTCACAGCTTTAGCAAGATTGAGGTAGTTCAAACATTAAGTGAGACATTACAGATGGTTGTAATCAAGAAAAAGTACTCACAGCTTTAGCAAGATTGAGGTAGGTCAAGCATTGAGTGAGACATTACAGATGATTGTAATCAAGAAAAAGTACTCACAGCTTTAGCAAGATTGAGGTAGGTCAAACATTGAGTGAGACATTACAGATGGTTGTAATCAAGAAAAAGTACTCACAGCTTTAGCAAGATTGAGGGAGGTCAAACATTCAGTGAGACATTACAGATGGTTGTAATCAAGAAAAAGTACTCACAGCTTTAGCAAGATTGAGGTAGGTCAAACATTCAGTGAGACATTACAGATGGTTGTAATCAAGAAAAAGTACTCACAGCTTTAGCAAGATTGAGGTAGGTCAAACATTCAGTGAGACATTACAGTTGGTTGTAATCAAGAAAAAGTACTCACAGCTTTAGCAAGATTGAGGTAGGTCAAACATTGAGTGAGACATTACAGATGGTTGTAATCAAGAAAAAGTACTCACAGCTTTAGCAAGATTGAGGTAGGTCAGGCCATTGAGTGAGACATTACAGATGGTTGTAATCAAGAAAAAGTACTCACAGCTTTAGCAAGATTGAGGTAGGTCAGGCCATTGAAGTGTTGCCTCTCTGGTGTGTTGTTGCAGCAGACGCCATACTGGGGCTCCACCCAGCACTCTGTCACAAGCTGCACCTCACCGTCTGCTTCAGTAGATTCTGTTTCATCCTGCTCATCTTCAGACAAGCTGAAAACATTGGTAAATGGTATGTAGACAAGTCAACAGATGGCCAGACATGACAAGTCAACAAATGGCCAGACAAGTCAACAGATGGCCAGACAAGTCAACAGATGGCCAGACATGACAAGTCAACAAATGGCCAGACAAGTCAACAGATGGCCAGACAAGTCAACAGATGGCCAGACAAGTCAACAGATGGCCAGACAAGTCAACAGATGGCCAGACATGACAAGTCAACAGATGGCCAGACATGACAAGTCAACAGATGGCCAGACATGACAAGTCAACAAATGGCCAGACAAGTCAACAGATGGCCAGACAAGTCAACAGATGGCCAGACAAGTCAACAGATGGCCAGACAAGTCAACAGATGGCCAGACATGACAAGTCAACAGATGGCCAGACAAGTCAACAGATGGCCAGACATGAGAAATGTAATTAAAAAAACAGTTAACAAGCAGTGTTGTTATCAAATTAAAAGAACAGTTTTTAAAAGCTTCTATACATGTTTTAAATGTAAACTACAACAAGATGAGAATATGAAAGTATGAAATGTTCTAATAAAGATATAAAGGTGTGGTTACCTATCATCAATGGCATTGACATGTGGAGGAAATATTATGTACTGTATTACACATGTGTGGAGATTGTCATCCTCTTGGCTGTCTGATGTTTCCTGCATGATTCAAAGTATTGATTCAATCATTAAGACATACAAAGTATTAATTCAATCATTAAGACATACAAAGTATTGATTCAATCATTAAGATATACAAAGCATTGATTCAATCATTAGGACATACAAAGCATTGATTCAATCATTAAGATATACAATGCATGGATTGAATCATTAAGATATACAAAGCATTGATTTAATCATTAAGATATGCAAAGCATTGATTCTATCAAGACATACAATGAATTGATTCAATCATCAAGACATACAAAGTATTGGCTCAATCATCAAGACATACAAAGTATTGGCTCAATCATCAAGACCTACAAATATTAGTCCAATCACAAACCCATAGCAGTGGTTCAATCATCAAGTAGTGTCCACTGCTACACACTAGCTAGAATTAGATTGCTAATACACCACTAGCACACTCCAGCTAACAGGACACAAGAGTAAATAAATTCTCTTACAAAAAATATTTTTACCTTCATGTCCACCTCAAGGACTAAATTTGACACGCCAGCACCAGAGGCAGCAAAATGGAAACCCTCTTGTAATCTTAACCTGGAGAAAATTAATGCATAGTTAATTTTTTTACAATCTTAATCTGGACAAAATAAATGCCTAATTAATTTTTTTACAATCTTAATCTGGACAAAATAAATGCCTAATTAATTTTATTGTAATCTTAACCTGGAGAAAATAAATACCTAGTTAATTTTATTGTAATCTTAACCTGGAGAAAATAAATGCCTTAGTTAATTTTATTGTAATCTTAACCTGAAGAAAATAAATACCTAGTTAATTTTATTGTAATCTTAACCTGGACAAAATAAATGCCTAGTTAATTTTTTTACAATCTTAACCTGGAGAAAATAAATGCCTAGTTAATTTTTTTACAATCTTAACCTGGAGAAAATAAATGCCTAGTTAATTTTCTAGTAATCTTAACCTGGACAAAATAATGCCTAGTTATTTTTCTTGTAATCTTAGCAAGCGCTACAATAACCCCTGTACTACCAGCGCTACAATAACCCCTGTACTACCAGTGCTACAATAACCACTGTACTGCCAGTGCTACAATAACCCCTGTACTACCAGCGCTACAATAACCCCTGTACTACCAGAGCTACAATAACCCCTGTACTACCAGTGCTACAATAACCCCTGTACTACCAGAACTACAATAACCTCTGTACTACCAGAACTACAATAACCCCTGTACTACCAGCGCTACAATAACCCCTGTACTACCAGCGCTACAATAACCCCTGTACTACCAGAGCTACAATAACCCCTGTACTACCAGAGCTACAATAACCCCTGTACTACCAGCGCTACAATAACCCCTGTACTACCAGAGCTACAATAACCCCTGTACTACCAGAGCTACAATAACCCCTGTACTACCAGAGCTACAATAACCCCTGTACTACCAGCACTACAATAACCCCTGTACTACCAGCGTTACAATAACCCCTGTACTGCCAGTGCTACAATAACCCCTGTTCTACCGGTGCTACAATAACCCCTGTACTACCAGCGCTACAATAAACCCTGTACTACAATCGCTACACCTTACTTGGTGAGTGTAGCAAGCATGCGACTGACAGATGTCATAGAGAGTGAACTCTTGGAGTTGGCTTGTATGTTCCACACCCATCTCTGGTGCTGGAGGTAATGAGTCAGAGTGCGGAACACAGAGCGCATTGGGTCCTGTTGTTTCCTGCTAGTCATCTCTTTTTGAGCTTCTTTAACTATGGTCATATCCTTGGGTTTACTTTCATAGCTGAAAGGTCATTGAGAACATTTCGGTTGAAATTCTAAATAAATAAGTTTACATTTTCAATATTACAGTTGCACATTGCAGCCCCTGGTAAGCAAATATTTGGTTTGAATCTAACAGTTTTAATTTGAGAATTATTAGCAAGAATTAGCTGTCCAGTTAAAAGATTGAACAAAACTTGTGAAAAGTTTATTGCTTAATTTCATTTGGAAAACAGAAATTGATTTTAATATAGCTATGTCTAGCAATAGTTTGTGCTGAAAACATCTATTTCCTTATTGACTAAAAGTACATTATTTATATGTAAGACCTAATATACAATAAAATGTACAGGGCATGAAAAACTAAACAATTTGTTTACGTGATGTGGGACACTAAAACACACATGGGTATACTAGCTCCACTTACACGACTAAGATTTTCTCCACTGGTTTTTTCAGCAGAACACAACATGCTATCTCAGAGCCCTCCCTATTCAGTGGTGACTTGTATGGCCTCTGCTTCTCTTCTTGTCCACTTATGGACGAGCTGGACGCCATCTTTTGGATATTTTTCTGTGTCCCTCTCTGAGGAAAGTGCAAGTTTTTTATCTTCTCTCTCAAGATGTCCAGCTCCTCTAGTCGTATAGAAGCTGGGGTGCCACCTAAGAAACCCAGACGAATGATCATGTTTGGTGCTTTAGAAGTCAGCCTCAGAACACAGAAAAATTTTGGGGGTTTGTCTTGTTCTCTGAGGAAAAAAAAGTACATGTACTACATCTTGAACAATATTTCATAAGCATTAAAATAAATTTAAAAGCTAAGCATTTTTTTCATATGTTCAACAATTTTTTGGGACCATTTTTTTAATCATTTATTTTACTTTCATCAAAGCATGCTGTACTTACTGCTGTATGAACTTAATGTATGAGTGATTTTCTGCCAAGACAAATGTACTCCATTCACGTAGGAGAAGACTGAGTGAGGCTAGAGCCTGGCGACACTGAATGGTTGTAAAACGTGAGCTGGCATTTGGAACTTGGAAACATTTTGGAAACTGTCTGTCATGTTCTAAAACAAGACCAATGCGATGAGAGTGCAGCCATTTTTGCCTGAAAGGAGAAAAAGTAATTCATCTAAACATTATGGTTTACAGACTAAATGTGTGTGGCAAGACTGTTTCTAGCATAAATTTGAAGCACAATAAAAAAAAGCATACATTTGTTTTCACCAAAACAAAATATTGTCCCTCATAGCTAATTACTTGATATACTACAATATTACCAGTTACTTAATGAACTCATAATATTTGTATTTGTAACATCACAATCAGCTAAACCAATAGATAACTCTACATGTTGACCAATAACTTACCAGCTGTTGGTGTCGAGTTGTATGACAGCTTTCCAAAAAGCAGCAAAACGTTCCATAGTGCTATAAAAAAATTTGCTCAACAGTTAAGACCAATAGAATTGGCTCAAGAAAATTTTAATTTAAACAAAAATTGGTTATAAACACACCAGATCTAATAAAAATCCAAGAACAATTTAAGGACAACATAATGCAAGAAGAATGAACATGAGAGACAATTGGATCAGTTAATTACAACCCATACACACACAAAAAAACAAGGAACATTCAGATTTTGAAACCAAGTTTGACTTGTTTACTAAAAGCTAAGTATGTTTAGCAGCAATGCAAACATGATTTATCCATTATTTTTAACCATTGGGTTTTTCTATAAAATTAATATCTAAATTTGTTTTATTTAATATTCACCTTAAATTGGGAAGCAATAAAATTTCTTTGAAAGAGCATAATTTCACTCTAATCTGTGATTAACAGGTAAACTAATTTAAATTTAAATGATATAAAAATAAACTTAAGCATGTTTACTGGGTATTTTATGACAAAGGCAGGTGCAATTCTACATTTCAGGTCACTGACCACAGCTTGCACACTGCCTTTTCAGCAAACTTAATTTTTACTGTTGCTCAACTGTTAATGGTTGGGCTGGTGGAGGGATGCAGTGGAGGATACCATGATGTGGGTGCTGGAGTACAAGCCCTGACACCACCCCACCCCACGGGTAGTGATTTTAGGAGAGGAATGCAATGGTGTATTGAGTGGGGAACTAGGTGAGGGTGGATTAGGCATGAGTGGGTGGGTGGGATTGGGTGGGATTTGACTCGTGGTATATGTTTTAAAAGCCACTGTTATCCAACGGTTAAAGAGGTCATGTAGTCTAGTATAAAACTTGAAAAACTTCTGTATCAGATGATAAGAGGACAAAAGGCTATGGAAGCAAATCCAAAAAGAAAAGCAGTCTGAAATCAGAGTCAATGGCCTCAATGGCGCATAACCAGTTGATACGTAACGCTTAATTGTGTTGGAGGGGTGGTCAAGTCGGCAAAAAGCCCATGGTTGATAAATTCGAACAAAGTCTCGAGTTCAAACCTACTGGCAGATAAATCTCGATCCCCTTCAACATTAATAATTAAGAACGAAGAAGAAGAAGATGATGATAAGATTTTAAATCTTAAAGTTCGCCAATAGAAATTTGAAAGAAACTTTAGTGTCACCTTGCTTTAAGCTGCATATTGAGTGTAGGCCCTTCTTGAGGCATGTAGAACAAAGGGACACCACTTAGTAAACTTTCTGGTGTTTTATAATAAACAGGTTCTGATGAGAAAGACTGAAGGTGTTCCAACATTGTGTCAGTTGAGCAAATCCTAAGAGGGAGAGAAGTGATAAAACATTATTCAAAGAATTAAGTAAGCATTTTTAAAGCTCCTTAAAATTTGAATTTATTACCTAGCATTTATAGCATTCTGTAATGTGAAATATTTCTTTTTTCAAAATGGTTGCATCATTTACCTTGATAAAATGGCTAAATCTTGTAACTTCCTAAAATGGCCAAATCTTTTTAAATAAATTAACTTATTTATGGTTACTGGTTTTATATCCATTAAAAAAAAATTAATAACTGTTTCTGACCCCCCCCCCCCCTCTCCACATTAGACACATCACCCAGTCCACATGAGCACATCCACAAAAATACAAATTCTTTGAAAATTTACTTCCCATAAACTAAATTGATAACATGCATTGTGTGTGAGTTTGCAATCGTAACAATATCATACCATGATTTCTATTTCTGGAAAAATATCTAGTATAAAATATCAAATAGAGAATCCAGAACTAGCATGGTGTTCAGCAAAATAAATCAAATCCTTTTTTAAAATCTATCAGCCATTGTTTGCCCTGTCTGGCAGGCTCACATGGGCCACTAATAAAGAGAGCAGCTCAAAACAGGGTCCAATGGAGAGCTGTGGTAGCAGCCCTTTGCTCTTCAGGGGCCACACAGGAATAAGAGTTGTGAATAAATTAAGCATACTGATAAAACATGTGGATGTCAACAAAGACCACACACCTCACTCTCACCTCAATGTGGAAGTCATAAGTGAGCGCACACACCTCACTCTCACCTCAATGTGAAAGTCATAAGTGAGCGACTTACCTTTCCAAAATAGTCCAAAGAGATTTGATGTTGTTAATTCTGAGATTACTTTTCACTTCATTGTTTGGTTTACACAACATTTCATGGAGCAAATCATAGCTGCCCTCCACCGTCACCTCAATAAGAGTTATTGGGCTAGAGGGAGAAGATAAACAGAAATCACATGACAAAAAATTTATTTTAAAATAGCTGTGTATATGCATTCATTACAAGTTCATTAAACTTTTTTAATAGAAACACTGTAGTAATGAAATGATTCTGTAGTTAACTCACCTTGAAGTATTCAATGGCCAGGCTGCTGAAGCAGCATACTCTATTTTACCATAATCTCTCCAAGGAAAATGTAATTTCACATGGATCTCAGAATGATCTGACCATAAAAATTTAGTCATGACATATGTGTATTACTAACGAAATGAGAGATTTTCAACATGAATTGTAAACTAATGTCTGTCATAAGATCAGTTCAAATATGAATTGAAAATTCACCTTTTTTAAAGCATACACTTTTGATAGTATAGCCTTCCCTGAGTCTGACTGACAACACACTGTGTAGGCCTGCACGAACAGTGCGTTTCTCTCTCTCTTTACGCAAGGATTCCACACCAAAGCTTTCCCCAGTTATAGGGTGGCGATGTAGCATTCTAAAACAAAAGAAAAATATACTTAAGTTTTGTTTTCAAGAGAAATTTATATTTGCAAGTTTACAAGATGTTAATCATACCAACTTAGAAAATGTTTATTTCTGGTTTGGTCCTCAACATCATTACTAGAAATGTAATTTGATATGGATAAAACCATTTTACTATATTCTCCAGTAACTTACTTTTTAATCCATGATATAGAGCCAGGTAAATCCTCATCACTATAGTGGGTCAACTCATACTTAAACCCTTCAAGGCCACGTTGAAATGACCAAAAAAGCAAAGCACGATGGTAAAGGTTGGCTTCATTCTTTTCTTCACTCTGAAAATGATTACGAGATTATTCTTTTTCGATTCTACAATTGTATTACCAGTTAAAGCATGACAATTTGTTAAATAACTAAAATTCACTGTCAAACACATGGAATTTTAAAGACAGGAGCAAATTTTTTTCAGTCTGTCTTACAAATATTTAATTATAATAATTACAGTTTTTTTTAGGGTTTACGTTATGCTGAATCAAAATAAAAATGATATTGGCTATCTTCCCACAGTACTCTTGAAGTGAAGATTAAATCTTTTAAAAAATCTCATGCAGTAATAACGAAATATCTAATTATAAAAACTAGTTTTTATGTGTATTATGATTCTAAAGAACAGATGTCTTGGTTATTAATATTTGTGGTAACTTAAGTTTTAAAAAAGCTAAATTATTTGTTTTATTGCCTGTACTAATAAATGTCATACTAACATTCAGTTATAAGAATTATAAGAAATTACCTTAACAGTGTGGAAATTTTTAATCAGATAAGCATGAAATGCCATCAAACCAAATATTTTTCAAAAGAGTGTACCATTATAATGATGGTACTGTTTAAGAAATAGCCAATCTCAAAGTTTGATTTATAAAAGTCTTATTGTAAAAAAAACCTTGCAGTAATATGTTAGCAATGGAACAATGTCTTTAGCAATGATACTGGTGAAACATTACACTATATGTAGAAATTTTTTATGCCATTAGTATTAGCCATGATATCTAAGGAACAATACACTATATACAAAATGTTGATATGCCATTAATATTAGCCATGATATCTAAGGAACATTACACTATATACAAAATGTTGATGTGCCATTAGTATTAGCCATGAATTCTAAGGAACAATACACTAGATACAAAATGTTGATATCAGAAATGCCAGTGTTTGACTAGAGTCATCTCTAAACATAAGTGATATAAAATCACACTTGTAAGGTCTGTATCAATCAAGAATAATTTGTAAAGATTGCAAACAGAACAAATGTTACTTTTGTTTAGATAAATCTGTATAAGTTAACTTTGTCAATGAGCATGATTCAGTATCTTATTCTAAACTTTGTCAATGAGCATGATTCACTATCTTATTCTAAACTTTGACCATGAGCATGAATGAGTATCTTATTCTAAACTTTGTCAATGAGCATGAATCACTATCTTATTCTAAACTTTGACCATGAGCATGAATCACTATCTTATTCTAAACTTTGACCATGAGCATGAATCACTATCTTATTCTAAACTTTGTCAATGAGCATGATTCAGTATCTTATTCTAAACTTTGTCAATGAGCATGATTCACTATCTTACTCTAAACTTTGTCAATGAGCATGATTCACTATCTTATTCTAAACTTTGACCATGAGCATGAATGAGTATCTTATTCTAAACTTTGTCAATGAGCATGAATCACTATCTTATTCTAAACTTTGACCATGAGCATGAATCAGTATCTTATTCTAAACTTTGACCATGAGCATGAATCAATATCTTATTCTAAACTTTGTCAATGAGCATGAATCAATATCTTATTCTAAACTTTGTCAATGAGCATGATTCAGTATCTTATTCTAAACTTTGACCATGAGCATGAATCACTATCTTATTCTAAACTTTGACCATGAGCATGAATGAGTATCTTATTCTAAACTTTGTCAATGAGCATGAATGAGTATCTTATTCTAAACTTTGTCAATGAGCATGAATCAGTATCCTATTCTAAACATTGTCAATGAGCATGAATGAGTATCTTATTCTAAACTTTGTCAATGAGCATGAATCAGTATCTTATTCTAAACTTTGTCAATGAGCATGAATCAGTATCTTATTCTAAACTTTGTCAATGAGCATGAATGAGTATCTTATTCTAAACTTTGTCAATGAGCATGAATCACTATCTTATTCTAAACTTTGACCATGAGCATGAATCAGTATCTTATTCTAAACTTTGACCATGAGCATGAATCAATATCTTATTCTAAACTTTGTCAATGAGCATGAATCAATATCTTATTCTAAACTTTGTCAATGAGCATGATTCAGTATCTTATTCTAAACTTTGACCATGAGCATGAATCACTATCTTATTCTAAACTTTGACCATGAGCATGAATGAGTATCTTATTCTAAACTTTGTCAATGAGCATGAATGAGTATCTTATTCTAAACTTTGTCAATGAGCATGAATCAGTATCCTATTCTAAACATTGTCAATGAGCATGAATGAGTATCTTATTCTAAACTTTGTCAATGAGCATGAATCAGTATCTTATTCTAAACATTGTCAATGAGCATGAATCAGTATCTTATTCTAAACTTTGTCAATGAGCATGAATGAGTATCTTATTCTAAACTTTGTCAATGAGCATGAATGAGTATCTTATTCTAAACTTTGTCAATGAGCATGAATCAGTATCTTATTCTAAACTTTGTCAATGAGCATGAATCAGTATCTTATTTTAAACTTTGTCAATGAGCATGAATGAGTATCTTATTCTAAACTTTGTCAATGAGCATGAATGAGTATCTTATTCTAAACTTTGTCAATGAGCATGGATCAGTATCTTATTCTAAACTTTGTCAATGAGCATGAATCAGTATCTTATTCTAAACTTTGTCAATGAGCATGATTCAGTATCTTATTCTAAACTTTGTCCATGAGCATGAATGAGTATCTTATTCTAAACTTTGTCAATGAGCATGAATCAGTATCTTATTCTAACACCCACCACATCAGGACCAGCACCAAGATAAGCTCCAAATGTTGCTGTGGCAATGGCTTGCATCAGTTCTATATGAGGTACATGAGCCAACTTTCTGTACAAGCCAGAAGGACATCCAACTTTGATAAAACTGCACATGGTAGTATTATTGCGCATCTGATTCAAAAGCATCTCAATGAGATAGGAAGTTGGCAAACCAACAATACCATCAGTAATTATTATTATCCCTGAAATACCATCAGTAATATATTATTGTACCTAAAAAAATGTTTTGGAATACATTTTGTTACAGTTAATATAAGAATTTTAATTATATGCAAAAAACATTTTTATATATAACTTTTAAAGCATGCCACATTTAATTAGAATTTTTTCATTGTGTCAAAGTTTCTGGTAGAATTTGTTTGAAGACTATACCTTTCCTTGTATACTAAGTCAAAACAAACTATTTTTTAAGACAGTTATAAACATAAGAAAAAACATCAAGGAAAAACTTGTATCACCAGGGGGACAAAAAAAGTGAGGGATTTAAACAAAGTAAACCAACCTGAGCTAGAGTTATCAGGCAAGAGCTGAAGGGACAGTATCCCATAACGAAGCATGTTAGTAAACCCAGCCTCTGGGCTACCAATGTGATCAGTGATATTAAACTGGCCATCTCCCTCTTCCTCATCCTCATCAAGAAAAAAACCTTCCTGTAAAATCAAAAGATGTCAGTGTAAGCATAGGTCATGCTAATAAATCCTGGTTAGGATGTGAATAGCTCATCAGAGCTGGGTGTGAGTATAACCATCTTAATAAGTCACACTGGGTCATCTTAGTGAGCCCCGGCATCTGAGTAGTTCACTACACATATCTGTTAAACAAAAATTACTAGTTTATTTCTTTGAAATGTAAATATAATGAAATTACCTTTCTTCTGTAAAGTTTCAGTAAAGTGACAAAGCTATTGGACAGTGCAGTCTCATACTGATTCAGTTCAACTTCTATATGCTTAAGGTAATAATCTAAATTATCTTGGTTCACTTTTACACCTTGTACCAAGACCTGTTGAAATTAATTAGAATTCAATCCTTTACTGTGCTATTTTTTTTAAAAATCAAAATTTTTTACATCATAATTAGCAGAGTTCTTTAAAATGAAAGAAAATGTGCTTTTTATTTAATTTGAGGTTGATATCATTAACAGCTTTCACACCAAAAATATGTAGTAGTACAAAGGGTTATTCCTCAAAAAAATTATTGAAACAATCATTTTTAAATGTTTTAAAAGATTATTTCAGTCTTTTTTTGTGATATCTAGACTTGATAACTAAAACATTTTTTCTTTAAATGAAAAGATCAAATAAGTATGAAAATCTAAAACATAAACCAACCTGGTTAGTGAATGAACAGACAACTGGTGTGTGACATATAACAGATATGTACAAATCAGGGGAATACCGAAGGCAACTTCCAGGAATAACAAGCTAATTTAAAACAAAATAGATCAATGTTTTAATACGTTAAGTATTTCAAATAAATAAAATGTTATATCTAGGACTTTGGTCATTACTTGTATTAATCCCACTTCATTAAGTGCATGCATGGAATTTTCATGAATTTATTACTTCCATATCTTATTTAGGGATTTTGTCTTCAATTCTGTATGTATTACTTTTTTTTTTAAAGATTTTAGATTTGTTCAAATTTGTGTTTAAAATATACTGAATTTTCAATCTGAAAGCTTAATTTGTTAAACTCCAATGAGTAACAAATGGAATGAATATAAAAATTTGCTTTAATATGAACTTTGGGTCCTTTTTTATGCTATGATTGGCAGTGAAAAAGAGCTTTCAGTTAATTTAAGTAATTTAAGTAGTCATTTCCAAAAGCTATAGAATAAAATCAAATTTCTTTACTGCTAAGCAACTAATGTCTGAGGGTGCAGGGATGTAAATCAAATCTATTGCATACACAATATTATAGCAGTCTAAGTAAGTGATTAGACTATATTTAAAACAGTGAAACTTACTGGCATAACAAGTCCTCTTAAACAACGACTGAGTGATTGAAAGATTTCATCAAAAACATACTTGCTATTCTGTATATCCTAAAAGTTAAAGATTTTTAAAATACTTAAAAATTTAAAATGCAACAAAAACCTTGGAACAATACTCAAGAAAGTAGCCATTTAAAAAGAAATGTAAGCAAATGAGCAGGAGCCCCTTCCTATAAAGAAACCTTTAATGGTCATTGTGAACATTTTCTTACCACTGACATCAACGAAGGGCTCAAATCTAGTGTGAAAGACAGTTTGTATTGAGATGACAGAAAGGTGACTATTGTGTCAGGGCCAACATGGACTTTGTAAATCAGTCCTGGTAATAGCTTTACTTCAGTATCTTTAGGGATAACCGAAACAAGAGTGAGTTCCTCTGTTAATTCCTGAGGCTGTAAAATAAATTAGCTTGTATTAACTTTTACATAGTCCATAAACTTTATTTTAAAATCTTAAAAACCAGAAAACCAGAAACATTAAACACAATCAATAACTGTATTATAATCATTATACAGTAATGAATAGAAATTATTTGGCACAAATATATTTTCTTTATTTCAATATACATGCAGAAACTAAGTCATATTAACAGCAATTCACGGTAAGAGATAAAATTTTACCAAATTTTACAGGAAAATTAGAAAAACAAACCTCCAAAGATGCAAGTGGTTTAAAATATACTTGTCTTTGCAAGTGCCTAAAAAACCAGCATGCTCTAATGTTTCTGGAAACTCGAATATTTTTTTTCATTAACACATACACATGTGATGCATGTACATCAGGCTGAAATAGAAGGAGCAACAAAATTTTAATGAATTAAGTTAAATGAAATAGTACTTGTATTACAACAATGCTTATTATTTTAAATACATTGGAGTAGTGTGAGTGTGAGGCTCATCTTGTTTTATTTGTTTTATTGGGTTGATTTCTTGAGATAGTGAAGAGCGTTAGTCACCTTAAGGTCAGCAAATATTAAATAGCAAATTTAATAATACATTATTGCACAGTAATATTGGGCAAATAATTGTTTTCATAGTTAATTATTAAATGTGGTGTCACCCCTACCCCTGTTGTAGAATGGCATGAAAATACTCAATAAAACCTTTTTCCTCAGTAATTTATGCAAAATTTTCAGTTAGTGTCACCCTTTTCCACTCCCCCCCCCCCCCCCCCCCCCAACACACACACCCACATGAGTGATAGTTTTAAACAGTGTACATTTTATTGTAATGTTTATTTATAGTAGGTTATTAATACAGCTGGGTGTAACAGATGTAAAACTGTTTTGTCTATCATTAGTAAGTTAAAGTCAGGGTGACAGTCACCACCCCCACCATCCCTCATCGTCATTGGAATTTGTCTATGTGTACTTAAAAGACTATTTAACTTTAATTTACCATTAATTGATCAAAGTGGAAAACTTATTTTTCTACTATTTATTTCGCTTTTTTTTCCTTTGTGTCAACCCCCCCCCCCCCTTTAAATGGTGCCTGCTTGTGTGTTCTAAACCACCCTAATAAGCAAACCTACAAAGAATAGCTAGTTACCTTTATCCCCTCCCTCCCATCTCAAATTTCTTAACATGCTGCACACTGATTGATAATTTATTAGGTCTACATCTATTATTTAATCTATAAAATATCTAATTTTAAAATCAAATTATGTGTTAAGAGGGACATAATAAACTTTAAAAATTATATAAATTTAGTTTGTTTTTTTTTCGGTTTTTTTTTTTAATTATTGGGAACATTAGGTCTAATAACTTATAAATTTAAATACAATCAAAGCTGAGTTAAAGTTAAGCAGGCAGCCAAGGGTTTTGCTTAAAGGCATAGAGATAATAGATGATTTAGATAAACCTGTACTTGAAATTTGTTTATGTACATGTCAGCTGTGGTCAGCTGATTAAGTGATCAGCTGATTAGGTGGTCAGCTGATGATGCGGCCAACTGCTGATGTGATCAGCTGTGTGTGTGCATTAATAAATGAGAATATGTATGAACATGTATTTGGAAGTTTTTTTTGACAAAACATTGTTAGCGTGATTTGGTGATTTGTTTGAAGAAGCAATTGAATTAGCCTGCTATATGCTAAATACTACTAAATAGATTAATAAACAAATGAGTAGGCAGATAATTAAACAAGGGAATAATAAAACAAAGAAACTAACTAACCAGTGAATAAATATTAAATAGAAAATTTGGAGGACAAAGCAATAATGTAGTGGGCAAGCTAACAAGAGGGTAAGTGAAGAAAACTAAACTATTGGGCTATTGAAATTCACTGTGGTGAAACATTGCAAGAAGGGGTGATCTGATAACCATCAAAACTCAAAACAAGGAAATAACATTACTGTTAACTTTAGTAGACTTTGGAGTAGGCCTTAGCCTATGAATGATATGTTTTTTATCGAAGTGACTACTTGGAAAAAGATTTTTTGCCCCAGCGTCTCCACTTGGTTGGCAATAGATAGTTCTGCGCATGCACAGTGACCTTAATAGCTGAGCTAGGGTTAGGATTAGGATTAGGCCTGATTAGGGCGTTAGGGATAAAGTTAGGGTTCTGCGGTTGTAAACAAATGCCTGCGCAGTACCATCAAAAACATCGCTGTGAAGGAAAGTTGTAGTTTCTCTCCATTGTGCATGCATATCTGCATGCGTATCTTTTTCCTGCTAGAATCGGCCTTTTTTTATTATATTAATCATATTTTTATTAATGTCATACCCCCTGTTTTAGTTTAGTTAGAATTAGATCTAGATCTAATCTAGTTACCATAGATTATTAGATATTCCTAATCAAGAAGTTACTGAGTTAGTTGTGTGGTAGTTTCTAGACCACAAGATCTAGCTAGAGTCTAGAGAATAATTAATTAAAATAATTAATAATTAATTATTCGAGTAAAGAAAGACTGAGCGAAGTTGAACTTCTTACCAAATCAGTGCCACTTTGAAAAGCACCCTCCTGTGCATCAACAGGAGGATGTGAATCCATTGTTGATTATAATCAGTAGGTAATTTCCTTAAGTAACACTAGGTTAATAATACACCTTCTAAATTCATAGTGAGTATAACAAGATACTCGTATTTTAGATTGTTCTACTTTAGATTTCAGATCTAGATTCTAGATTCTAGCACTGAGCGAAAGTTGTTGTATTCGTGCTTTCAATTTCTGTAGCCTTTGGCCTCAACTATAGCCTTGACCTTTAATATTATAAATTACCGTAAAAAGCCGAAAAGAAACATAATAAAATAAAAAGCCTTGCCCTTGTGTGTCAAAATTTGTGCTATTTCTATTTCGAGACGTCTTAAATATCACTATTTTTTCCAAAGAAATACTAGATCTAGATCTAGAATGTAAGATTACTTTAAGATAAGTATGACGGCAGTGTTTCTTCCAGACTTTTTTCTCCGGGGTGGGGGGGCTGTTGTTATTTTCGGGGGGGGGGGGGGCAACATTTTCCTGGGGGGGGGGGGGGGGGCGGACGCTGGTAAATGTATATGTTTTCTATAATATAAATTCCAGTTCGTTCGGGGTTGCGTTAGATTAGGCTTAGAGGAGGTGGAGGATGTTCACATTAGGAATTTTGTGACGAAGGCCCTGGTGTTGGACAGAAAAAGTGACTTGATACTTTTGCCATTTAAAAGGTAATGCTTTTAGCTAAACATTAGAGCGAGCATTTGCTTTTTTTTAATTATCATTTTTTAAAATTACAATTACGAACCGCCATCCAGAAATGGAGTTCCTTTTTTTTTCGATATTTGCCCCTTCCTGATATCAAGTGACTATATTAGTAACATAAAACGGACACCCCCCCCCACACACACACACTCACTAAGATGATATCATACTATCCCACCACCTCCATCGCCTCACCCACCTATTCACCACACTCCGGAGAAAAATGTTTGAAATTAACTCTGCCACGCCCATATAGGGCCAATAGTTTGGTTTTATGTCAGAAACGGTTGTTGACAAAGGGAAATAATCAAATTATTATTTTTGCTCGGTTATTTATCTATTTTTACTATTCATAATTGTGTGATCATTGAAGGCCGAAATTAATTTTTTTTAATCACAGAAACCTTCCCATGAGTATTCTCAACAACTTACCAAAGTTTCATGGTGATCGGATGAACGGTGTAATGATGCATAAGAGACCAACAGACACACAGACATATTTATAATTTACGTGTATTGATGCAATCTTAGAAGAAAAGGTTAACGCAACAATTTATAAGGGTCTCATCAACGTGTATTTTTTAGACGCGTGACTTTGATTTTAAAATCTGAGCTATTAAAATGCAAAAAATGTCGGCGCTACTTTTCTTAGATCTTAGTTTTGGGGACCAGGTTTGTCCACTAATGTCCACTATACCGCTCAGACACCCCCGTTCTGTATAAAAGCCTTGGGTGCAGTGTTCCTTCCAGACTTTTTTCTCGGGGGGTGGGGGTGGGGGGGGGGGCTGTCCCCCCGCACCCCCCCCCCCCCCAGAACAGATGCCTGGAAGAAACTCTACTGAGTGTACCTTAATACATCAACTTCCGTTATAGTGAGGTAGAGAACACTATCGGAGACCGCTCAGATTTCAAAGGCCTCGCACCCCCCCCCCCCGAACGAAATGAAATGTATATAGAAAATATATACTGTTAACAGTGTCCGCCCCCTCCCCCGGAGAAAAAAGTCTGGAAGAAACACTGGGAGCCACCGGTTACAAAAACGTAGGGTGTCGAGTGAGTCTCCTATTTCGGTTAAGTCCCAGAACTTCCCAAAGTTTCATGGTGTTCGGGTGAAAAAGCGTGGGTTACTTTAGTATCTATTGAATACCTTTACTAATGTTTAGGAAGAGACACACGCTTTTCTTTCTAGTTATTTAAATAGTAGTCTATAATTTATTTCTACTTTTTAGTGCATTAGTACATAAAAGCTTGTTATTAAAACGTTTTTTATGAAAAAAAATGTTTAGTACTTTACATGTTTTATTTATAATAGAGTTTCATGACTAAAAACCACTGCGCGCCTATTGAAAGTGATGACGCGCTATTGAACGTGATGACGCGTGTGGTGTGGTTGGATAAAAATGCCTACTAATTTGGTCAAAATTTTAATTAATTCATAAAAAAATTAATTAGGCATCCAATTAAGTCAAATTTAATGTCATGATGCATTGTCTTCATGTCTTGACCCACGTACAAATTAAGAACCGTATCTGTCAAGTAGATGTGCCTGCAATTTCGCTCCGGCGTTTCGATCTAGATAGACTGACGACAGACTGACGACAGACTGACGACTGACGACAATCTGACGACTGACGACAGACTGGCGAGAAAGTGAGTTAAATAAAAGCTTGTAAAAAAAGTGTATATTCTTTGGAAATCAGCCAGAAGATGCTGGTGGATGAGTGGGGTGGAGGAACATTAATTCACTTTCTTAAAAGCTACACTGTATCCCTAAACTTAATGGAACTAAACTAAAATTCTCTAAACATAGTTGAACTTAAATGCTACTAAATAATTTATTATTTTCGCTTAATTTTCATGACTGCCATTCTCTTCATTGGTCTTTGCCTTTTTTGCCGCGCTTCACTCATAAATAAAAAATCCATGGAATAACATTTTATCTAAGTTAAATTTTAAAAAATTACCGTTACAACTTCTCCAGTGGGAACTAATGTAGGTTGGCTTCCAGATTGCAGTATTACCATTTTTAACACAAATAAAATTAACTGTATTTCCTTCTTCCAAAACTGTTACTATGAATCCAAAGCAAGTTTAAGTATTTCAAAGGTTTTACTCTGACTTCAATTGAAATAATTGTATACGCGCTCAACTAATCTGGTTGAAAATCTCTATCGCGAAGAATGCAAGAGAGAGTATGAATGTTTACGCTAGATAACTTGGTGTTATTGTATCAACAGATGACTAAACTGATAAATTACAAGCGAGTGGTGACGATGTAGGCCTACACATGCACACAAAGCTATCGAAATATGTAAATATTTCGATATCTTTGTTATTTTAGTCATAGAAATGTAGGGTGTTGCATTTAAAGATTGTAATATTATTAATTATTATTAGAGTAGGCATTTATCTCGATATCATTTTGCTCATTGATTGTTTTAAATAGATTTATAGACAGCTTTAATTTCGCCTCGTGACTTAAAATGTGTAAATAAATGATAGCTATATGCTCAACATCTTTGGGTGTAAGACTACTCAATCAATAGCTGGCAAAAGTGAAGATATTTGGAGGCTAATGTTAAATTTTTAATGTGAGTGTTTCTACGCGCGTGCAAAAATTTATTCATCTAACTTCACCATCATTACTGCCAATCACCCCTGCTTCAGAATACTCTGTCCTGTGCCATGTGACGATTTTCTCAACCCGACTCCAGGTAAAGCCCATCTGTGTAGTTTTACCTTCAAGGTCCCTACGCCGGGTGGTGTTTCTAGGTCGACCTCTTTTGCGCTGTCCTAGTGGGTTCCACCTCAATGCCTGCCTGGTTGGCGGTCTGCTCAACACCATCTTCTTTTCCTGATATCTTTATCAGCGGATATTTGTCCTGTCCTTTCCTATAGACGTTGCTCATGGTACCAAGCCAGCAGATCCTGAGTATTTGTCTGAGGCAGTTGTTTATCCCCTAACTTAAGAGTTAATTTAGGGCGCTATCCATGGGGGGGGGGGGGGGCACAAAAATGTGTAATCTCCAATAATAAAAAGTACCTAATAATGAATACCTTTGATTACATTATATGAACTTTAAACTTTAGGGTAATATAACCTGCTTATGTATGTTTGATACTTAGGATGGCCAAGTTACTGACCCAAAGGGCATATCTCCAGCTTGTTTCATAACATCATAATAATCGAGAGACTCGGGGCGCCTAATGTATACTTCTGCCGAGGTGGCTGGAGGACACCCTTTATTTTCTTTAGCCATTGATTATAGTAGCCCTCCGTATCCCTGGGCGTGGCGCTCATTAAAACAAGTGTATGCGCCTTAGTGCTGAGTTGAGCCAGGAGCGCCAGCTGATGCACCTGTGTAGTTTGACCGTTGAATTAAGCAGTAACCCTGACCCCTTGTGCAGGACACCCAATTAACTGACCCCAGGTGCTAAGAAAGCCGCTGGGAAACTCTGGGTGGCAAACCGAACTGCCTTACTGTCAAGTGGCCGTTCTCCGAACGAAACCAAAAAAAATGTAATGGCAGAAAACTTTACAGGAGCCAGAGTTTCTTTCTGTCTTCTCTTCCAGGGGAAGGCACTGCTCCTCATGTGTGGGATTGTGGTAGGAAATTTTACGGTCAGTAGATGTTTGTCTGAACTATTCTAAACAACTTCACAATGTTTTTGTATTAATGCATAAAGGACAATGAGGCAGACAAAGATCTTTAAGCAGCGGCATTTTGATTAAAGATAACTTAGATCAACAAACAAATTGTGATAAATGTTAAAACTATCACACAAACATTGACACATTTTCGAATTAGCTTGTTGTGAAAACACTCTCCACAGCTGTTAACCAAAAAAAATGGCTCAATTGTAATCATGGATGGATGGAATTTTGTTGGGGACAGAGTTGAGAGGGGAAGGGGGTGCATGTTTGTGGCGGTGGAGTAGAGAGTTTTTAGCGATGCGTATAAATTTGAGGGTGCCGGGTGCCAATTTCACAAAAGAGTCAATGTTCAAGTTTATGTATAGGCTAAACGGCTTGCCCGGCATTGCAAGTTAGTAATACATATGGGCTCTGTACAACCCCTCCCCAGTAAGAAAGGTTTGAGGGCTTTTTTTTTTTTTGGAACTTTTGATTACTTCTACAGTAGACAAAAAAACTGAATTTCCTTTTTATTTTTAAAATTATTTTTATAATACAAATATTAAAATTCCAATGTAAAGTTTTTTTAGAACTAAAGAGTGAAAAGAGCCCCTATTTGCCTTGGGCCCTATGTCTTGCTTACGGTAGCTACGCCACTGGATCAGTGTTTCTTCCAGACTTTTTGCTCCGGGGGGGCACTTGAAATCTTCGGGGGGGCGGTAAACTTTCTTCGGGGGGGCGGACACTGTTAAAAGTATATATTTTCTATATAAATTATATAAATTTCATTTCGTTCGGGGGGGCGGTAAAAATTTTTCGGGGGGGCTTCGCCCCCCCGAAGAGATGCCTGGAAGAAACTCTGCACTGGATTAGCCTGTACGGGCCTACATAATAATATAATATAAATAAACAATCAGGATGTATAAAATACAAAATGTACTGAATATTTATATATCATTTAAAACCCTACATCAGAAGTAGCAATTGATTTCTTCGTTTCACTCCTTTGTAGGTATAAACAGCTGACAAATAACTTTTGCGTAGGGACCCGAAAATCCTAGCTACGCCAGATAGGGAACGGTGATGCCCAAATAAGTGTCAGCTTCTCGATACATAACAAATATAATTTCTAGATATGTTCTTTTTTGTTTTTTTACAACAAACAAAAAAAAAGTTTTAAAAGAAAAAAAATCAGGGGACACCCGGGTTTGAACCGGGGACCTCTCGATCTGCAGTCGAATGCTCTACCACTGAGCTATATCCCCATGTGGAAAGTTGCGATAAATAAGGTATATATTACAACTTTAATTATATGTTTACATTTTGAAAATTCGGTTATTTGGAATTATTTTAAATTAAGAAGTTGCCAGTTTACTTAATGTGAGTTTATTATATATCCTTTATAGGTTATATCTGACTTTAATTAATGTGTTTCTCAACTGTTTAATATGTGTTCGCCATATTTGATCTAGATCTAAATGGGTTTTTTTACTGCTGGTAACTGCTACTTAGACAAATGTTACTAGAAGTAGGCCTATTTATTTGTTTAGTAGTTAGAGAACTAGATTTAATTTTACTGATCTAGAGACTAGGTGTTCTAGTTCTAGTGGATGTGAGTACTTAAACCAACGCAGCCTTTGCTATTAATTATTTTGTTATTCATGACTACATTTAATTTTAGCGTATTTTATTCGCCGCTTCACGTTCACCTCCGGTTGAGCTGATGTGATGATCATGATGAAATTGAAATTTTCGGGAGGGGGCGGCTTTGCCCCCCCCCCCCCCCCCCCCCCGAAGAGATGCCTGGAAGAAACTCTGGTCTGAATCCTGATGAGCGTATTTTAAAATTTTAATGCCCTGGCCTTTTTATTTAAATTATACTAGATCTAGGTCTAGAGTCTAGATCTATAATATATTATATAAATTTAAATAATAGGCCCCTAACATTAGGAAAACAAGATTTATTTATTTGTATTGTATTTTTGTTTTAACAAATGAATAAAAAAAACAAAGAGACTGACTGAAATGCTTTGTTAGTTTGTTGGTTACAAAAATAGAAATGCACAGTTTGTAATTTTTTGTAGGCCTACAAATAAATAAATCTTATTTTCCTAATGTTTTGGTGTGTTTCGGTTATTATAATAATAAAATACGCTCAACTGGAGGTAAACGAGAAGCTGAGATTAAAATACGCTAAAATGGAGTTTTACCGCATTAGGCCCCCTGCCCTAAGGCCTACAGGTCCAATTAAATAGCATGTGATCGTCGGCGTGAGAAAAATCTGTACATGGTGTAGGGTTCACCGTGAATTCACATTGACTCTAATTAATAGTAATTATCAGCATACGTCATAGCTTAGGGTCATTGTGAGTTCATACATGCTACTTTATAGATCTAGAGATATTTTTAACAATACAAACTTAACCTACTTGCATTTATGAGTTTCTCTTTAAATGACAGAACCTATTTTCAAGAGAAAAAAAAGCTAAATCTAGTGCACATTTAAATTCAATATTCCAAATTTGGATTTTTCTCAAGTTTTGACAAAAAATATTAACAAAATCAAAACAAAAGTTTTTTTTTGGTAAACTTATAGCGAGAGATTCAGGGGAAGCCACTCTATTTTACAAATGGCAGCTGTTTATATAGCAAATCTTGCTGGCAAACACTGCTGTTTAAAGTTAATTTCTGGCCTATATTATATATTGATATATTTAACCATTGCTTTTGGTTTATTATTCAGTATCTATTATATTTGACACAAATATATCATGTTATACTAGTATTAAAGCTATAACAACCAGGCAACTTTTTCTCACTTTTACGCACTTAAAATGATAGATTACCTAACTAAGTTACTAATAATATGTATCGTGTCTTGGTAAATGCAAGACGGTAAAATGCGAGATGGTGTGAATACGGCCTGTTATGTGACATTTTTGTCTCGCATTTTACCCCTGACTGATTCATTGGCTTGGTGTGGGTAAATTGCACTGGTATTTGCAAAAAATTTCCGCACCTGAGTTCTAAAGTGCTGATCATATAAAACACTTTAATTTGCTATTGTTATTATGTAGCCGTTGCTGCATATGTATTTCAAACCAATAAATCTAATGTTTCAATGTTTACCGCACCCGAAATTTGTCGATGATTGAACAACTTTTTTCTATTGTGTTGACTTTTAATACCACATCATTCGAAACAGCCCGAAATAGGACAAACAGTAATTTAAATGTATTCCTTTGGGCCTATGTACAAATTTAATTTTTTTTTTCCATCTACTGCCTAACTAATCCAATGCTAGTTTATGTTGCCAACTATATAGTTGTAAGTATTGCTATTATTAATGATAATACAAATACAATATTACATTTGAATCAACTAGTTAATGACTAGGCCTATCCTATATATTATATATATTATATAAACTATATTATGCCTTATAATTTTTTTTGGGTAGCCTACTGTTTATATTACTTACAGGAAAGCTAAAGGTGCTTTATTATTATCTTGTAGTCCTTTATTACTTTTAGAGAACCTTACTCACCTAAAAGAATGAATATTGAAGACTCAACTTTTTCATCTTGCGCATATTGCTGGAAAGCTGAGAAATGTTGGGATAAAATTGTATCCTTCAAATGTGATGGCTGTGGGAAAAAAGTCCATTCAGGTAATTAAAGTCTTTAGTATAGATATATATTCATTTTGTTAGTTTTGTAGAACTTTGTTGTTATGAAATCTTGCATAAAGCTTACAATCACTGGGCAACTAGTGTCAGAGATGATAAAAATATTCAAGGAGATTGTTCTGGCCTGTCTCATCACTTTTTATGCCATAGCATCACTAACAAGAGATGCTGTATAAAACTACATAGTTAACAATTTAAACAAATCTGAATTAATCTTTTTTCTGTTGCAGGGTGTATAAAAAGTTTGTTGCCATCACCTCTACTTGATGATACATTTTTCAAATTTAAATGTGACTCTTGTGGTGAAAATGGTCAAGAGGAGTTTCAGCGCTGTAATATTTCTTGGTAACATTTTCCCCTCAATTATTCATTACACAATTAAAATTCTTTGGACTGCTGTGATGTATAATCAGATTAACGTGGATCTTCTTTTTAGGCACAATGTTGTTATGCTTGCTTTGTACAATCTTCATAAAATGGGTCAAGGGAAATGTGGATATTTTCACTGGAAGGGACACATCTGTGCTTTTATTGAAGCCAATTGGACCACATTTTTTGGACATCAGAGGTTTATTAATTCAATAATCATTAAATTTTAAAAAAATATAATTAATAAGCTATGAAAGTCCAACATAAAAAGAACATAATTATATTAGAATACTTTGAATATTTGTATAATGTTTAACTTCTAGGAAGAAAACGACATTGTGGATGGGTACAGTTGCTGGAACTCTCTCCTTAGGTTGTCCAGATTATTTTATTTCTGGTACCAAAGTTGTTGAACAAGGCTACTGGAGATTGGCAGTCATTGAGCCACCATTATGTTACACAGAAAGTAAGAGTGCCTTTGATAACCTTTTTAAAAGCAAAATAAATAAAAAAAGATAGTAGCAGATTGAAAAGTTCAATGCATTATTATCTTTTGGCCACAGCTTTAATGATATATATTTGTTATTTCTATTAGGTTCCAACAATATTATCAATTTTTAATAGTAGGCGCTTTACAAATCTTCTTATTCAAGAATATATATAACTTATTTACTGATAAACTAAAAAATAGAACTGAGCTTGTTTTTTGTTGGAGAAAAAGCAAAAAAAAAAAGGTTTTTTTAAAAGACACAAACTTGTTGGCTGAGGTGTGACATCTTTTTAGATGTAGGGATCTGGCTATTTGTGACAGCGGGGAAGGGGAGGGAGGAAGAAAACAAGTGTGATGTCATTTATGAATGGTCCCTGGACCAATAGTTATCCAAAGGATAAGAGGTGGTGTAGTTTTATTTAAAAACAATTATATAAATTCGTATCTAGCAGATCTATTGGAGAAGTGTGAAAATTAATACCTTTTCAATTAATAATATTTTAATATGCTCCTTTTTTCGGTCAAAATCATTTTTAAAAATGTACTTAAAACATTTATTAAGCAGAGGTGTAAATTTAACTAGAATTAAAAATGATGTTTTATATTTAAATAAATATAGTAAAAAAAAGTAAGCAGAAAAAGAAGCCAACTACACAATCAGAGATACCAATAAACCTTTACCCAGAGGATAGAAAGTGTAGAAAGGTCAAAGAAAATTCTCTGGTTGCTGCAATACAGTTGAAGGAGAAAAGATCTTCTTTGCTAGTAAGTAAAGCACATACAGAACATTACACATTGTGTTGATTTGAATATCATCCATAAAGTGTATTGATAACAAACAAGCCAGATTTGTGCAAAAAGTGTTTAAAAATCTCAGCTTTTCGGCATCCTCATTTGTACCTGTATGTATACAGTTTTACCACTAAACATCTTGCTCACTAGTGCAAATGCATTGATTTGGTTACTATAATTAATTTTTCCACAGCCTCAAAATTCTACAGAGCTTTGGTTAAACTTATTTAATATAACATACTGAACACATTTATTGCATGCTTAAGACTTGAGACCATTATTTCTAACCATCTTAGCCCTTGCATATAAAGTCCTGATTTTAGTGTAACTAAAACATTATTTCATCTTTTTAAATTTCATTCAAGGTTATTATATTATTTTATTCTTCAGGAGAACAAGGCTATAAAAAAGCAGAAGATGGAGGAATTCACTAATCTGCGTGATTCAGCATCATGCTCTAAAAAAAAAATGAACAGAAAACAGAAAACTTTAGAGCTAGAGCCTAGCAGCAGCGTGTTTACTCCAATAGACTTGCCAAGTGATATTTCCTTACTCTCAGACCAGGACAGCTGCAGCAGGAGCTCCTCAGAGCTGTCGTTATCAACAGCATCATCTTTCACAAGCTCAGCTAGAGACTTGCCTCCTGTCAAGTGGGAAAATGGTAATTCACAAATAAATCCTTAATTCTTAGGGTTGTCCTAGGGTATTTTAAATCAAATTTTAAACACAACATTGGGTAAAGTAAAGCAGATAACTTTTTGTTATTCTGAAATAACGTACAAATTTATAAGGCTAGTTTCCTAACCATTTTAATTTGTGACCAGAATCCTGATGTGTCAAAGAATAATAATTTTGCGCTTTGCTTTAATAAATTCTGTGAGTTAGCTATATAAAAACAAGATGTAAATGCATAACAAACAACAATTTTTAAATTACACAGGCTGGAGTCACTAAGTAGAGATGACCCAACATATTTTAGTATTCAAATTTCTCTATTACGCCAAGATATTTTAATATTCACATTCATCCACAACACTTTTTGAAACATTTTAACTTAATTTGATATAGTAATTAGTAATTGTTCTATTTTTTAAAAAATGCTAGGCATTTTTGATGATGATCTGAACACACTGCAAGTAGAGATTGGTGAGGATGAAGAGATGGATGTAGACATTGGTTCCATGGTAACAATCACTGAAGACACACCAGACTTGCGTCCTTCCACCCCTGATTTGGATGATATATTCAACATGAACAATGGTATTTTCTAATGATATATTACAGACATTTTATCATCCTGAGATCTACATTTACCTTCTGACAACTTTGTTTTCCTATCACACATTCTCCTATCTTCCTATCTTATCCTAACAGTTTTGTCAGACATTACTAGTTAACCATCAATTCCCTCAACCACAAAAATATTTTGACTGTGTTTCTAAATATAGGGTTCCAAAAAATCTTTAACATTTGGGTTTGGATAATTGATAATGGCATTAACACATCTGTCAAGTCTAGGTTCTAAATATTTTGACACATTTCTAATAGGCTTAGTCAGTTTATCAGTGTCTACTTATCATCTGACAAATGAAACAAATAAGCATTATAATTACTGCCAAAAGTTTCCACCATAGCCATTATGACTAGCACGTCAAAGCCATATTGTCAACTACTACAGAAAAGCTCACAATTTTTGTTTTATAACTCAGTTTTTATTATAATACAATTGAATCAAAATTAGACTTTTGTATTTAAATTTAGTATCTGTTTTTGATAGAAACTAATGGGACTGGGAATATGGGGATGCAACTGAAAAATAGAAGTATTCATATTAGGGCACGGGAGAAAAGAATTAGAAAATGTATGTTTTCTGAGTCAGTAATTTCTAATATTATGTCTCCATGAAGGGAAATCACCAGTTAAAGTTAAGGAGGAACCAAAAACAGACTCAGACTCGGATGGATCTAGTGAAAACTCTGAAGAAGATGAAGATGATGATGGGGAGAGAGAATCAGGAGATGAAACAGATCTCATTACAAGAATCAAGCAAGAGAACCTGACTGATGAGCATAGTTTGAAAAGAAGAAAAGGACGACCTAGGAAAAGGAGAAGATTAGATGATGCCCAACCTCCTAGTCCACAACCGAGGTAGGCTACTTTGTATTTTGAATGGTGATGTGAAGTTATTTCTTCTGTATATTTCTATTTATGCATAATTTAAATATTAAAATGCTGTAAACACTAATATTAAAAAAACTAGATAAATGGCCCGTTGAGGGAGAAATACAAAGGCACTAAGTTGATAGTTGTCTTTTTCTCTAAACGTAAACCAAAATCACCACTTCAACTTCAGCTTTAACCGGAAATGAAAAATATTATATAATTGTAAACTGATTTTTATCCTGAATCGGCAATTAATCCTGAATTGGCACTTTAACCTTGATCCACACATAGTTACTGCACAATTATACAAAATATAGTCATAGTTATACCCCTAAGCCTTGCACCTAAGCTCAAACTTGACAAAAGTCGCATTTAGAGTCTTTCAGGCAACACTTTTGGTGGAGGGGGGGGGGGGGGGGGGCTCTGAAGAATGTCTAACACCCCCTCACCAAAAATTAGCCCCCACCCCCCCTCCTCCTCTGGGAAGTAAAAAGTCTGAAAGAAACACTGGTTACATTTGTAGATAATACAGACTAAAGGTAGACGCTACTTCCAAAATCTAGACCCGTTGCCTACTTTTGGCAGCTAAACCTCTAATTGTGCAGATAGTGGGGTTGTTTTTTTTTTCAGATTTTTTTGCCCCTACCCTGTAAGAAACCACTTTTAAGATTACACAAATAAATTGGGCGGAAATGTTAGAGTCTTTATTATCAAGTATCCATGACGTCATTATTATTGTGGGTTTTTTTTATGCAATAGCTTTTTTATTCTGTTTACTTTAGAATCAATTATGTCATTTTATTGTGTACTTATCCAGCTTTAGAACTGTACATTTTTCGTTTTGTTTTGAAAACTTCATATATATTCCATGTGACGTCATGGTCTTTCACTATGCATCTTTTAAATTTCCCGACAGACAGACAGAATAGCAAAACTATTATAGTGATTGAGAATTTATTACATAAGTTTTGCCAGAGCTGTAAAGGATTACTAACTGTTAAAATAACTGTCAAGTGCAACTTTGCCTAAGTTTCTTTTGTATACATAGCTGATTAAAAAAACACACTTGACCCAAACTGACTAAAATTTTCTAAAGGTAGTAATAATAATAAAAAGACATCATATTTTCATAGGTTAGTATTGCACCTGTCACACTATGCTGAGATCTCAGATAATAGGAAATTCCAGTACACTTGTTCATTTTATTGAAACTTACTCATTTTAATATAGAAGAAATCCAGTTCTTATAAATTAAAGTGACTGTTGATTCAATTAGTACACCTGAGCCCCTGTGAAGGACACCCTATCAATAGAGCCCATGTGTTAAAAAGTCACTGGGGAACTCAGGGTTCCAACCAAATATTGCTGCCCCTCTGATATTTACATTTTTTTATTGCAGAAATCTTCCCTGAAATATACTTAACTTTCCAAACTTTCATGACAATCCAATGAATAGTGTATTAATACATCATAGAAAACAGACTGACAAACCAACAGATATACATTCATTTTTATCTCTATAGATAACTTGTCATTTAACATTTACATGTCTTTTAAAACAATGAAAAAGGTGTGTACAATTTCAGATTGAAAAGAATAAGTGTATTTGAGGAAGTCGAGCTTCTACAAACATTAAATGATTTATCAGCCATGAGAAGTTTAGATCCAGAACTTGCACAGTTTAGGCGGAAATTAATCTGTAATCAGGTAGGAACAATCTCCATGCAAATTAATTACCTTTCACTTTTTTAAAATCAATTTGCTAACAGTATAGATTTTATAAACAAAAATTGCATATAAAAAAATCACACTTAGCAGTTCTGGTCACCATGTACAAGTGTGAAAATTAATTCCTTTAAACCTTTTGTCAAACCTATGTGTTGCCCAACAGTTAAAATTGAGTTAAGATTTAAATTCCTCATACCAAGCTTTACATTTCCACATTTGTTTATAGATCTATAGGTCGATAGAATACACTTGAGATTTTTAAATATAACAATGTGAAAATTAATCTGTTTGTGAGGGTCAATTATAATGCTGTTAACAGTGGGCTCAATTAGGTGAACTCTCCATCACCAAACCAAGATGTATTTTATATCCGTAACTGTGCAGTGTAAAGTCTGTTGTACCAGTTCAAGTGATTAAATCTATCATCAAAAGGTGTAACAAGATTTTAAACTGGCCAACACTTGAGTGATGAGCAGGGGAGAGATTTGTCTATCTTCTATATGTTTATTATGCAATTTTTGAAGCTTAGCTCAGAACTGTACTTAACAAATTTTAGACATTATTTTAGATGATTATACTAAGTTTGCTGGTGCTTGATGTCAGATTTTAATGTCTAGAACTTTAATCCCACCTTATTTAGAGCAAAGAAAAATGAACTAGTCATGTACAAGTATATCTGACAATAGATTATTGTATAGTTTATTGCACCTTACAAGCATTTAGAGACATAATATGTGCTAAAGGCAAGCCCCTGTCAGCATTAATTGGTGAAAATTGGATTGGGGAATAAAAAAAAGAAAATGTACATTTGTATAAGAAAAGAATTGTATCTTTTGGTCTTTTTGTTTATATTTTATTTATTTTAATATTTTTTTACTGTTTTTCAATTTCATCATTAACAATATACTGTGTCTTTCGACTTTAAGACCAACCGTGAATTTGGCCTGCCAATTTTTGATCTTGAAATACAAATGGATCGCCTCTCTAAAATTGAAAGTACTTCATTTGTAAGTACATTCGTTTTTTTTTTGTTTTTTTTTGCTTCTAGTGTATTAAGGGAGTTTATTGAAAATTATATTTCCCAAATTATTGTGTACTGAATTGCTCTTGAGGTATAATGGCTGAAAGTTTTGTATCGTAATATGATTTTCCTGAATGGAAATTAATGAAAGAATCCACCATTTTAAAGACAAACATTTGCCTGAGGATTTTATTAACTTGCTTTGTTAATTTTGTGTGGTTCTATAAAAAAACATCTCATTTTTGTTGCAATGATGTGCTAAAATAATTCTTGTTAAAATATTGTTTGGGGAAAAGGTGCAAAATATGTTTACTTTGTTTTTACTTTTAATAATAGAACTCTGGATCTGGCAATAAACCATTTTTTCCACACATCCCTTCAAAAGTATCTCAGACAAAAGAAACAAGAGATTTAGATAGATTCATGGTAAGTCTTTACCCACTTATCTGAGTTTTAAATAGATGTTGTGGGAAGTACCTTTTTTAAGGTACAAATTTTATACCAATTTCAGATTCATGGTTCAATAAAGAAAACAGAATCTCGCAACTATACCAGTTTTCATCAAAGGATTGTAGGGCTTGCAGACTATGAACTAAAGCCTTTAGTCAGTCCCTACACCACAAGAGTTCTTTTACCTTTCATTTGGAGAAATTACAACCCTAAAAAGAAGCCACTGAAGATGAAGTTGCTTGAGGAGATTCAGGCTTATCCTCACAGGTTAGTTCCTATCTTTTCTGTTACATATTTTTTTATATTTTCACACACACAAAAATTATTGTTAAATGTTGCAATTCTATAAAAGAAATACACATCTTCTGAGCCAGTTTGTTAACCGCTAATTTTGCATGCATGGTAGCAGTTATTATTTATCTACAGGTATTTTGAATTTGGCTTCTGCTTTTAAATGTAGTGTTAGCAACTCTGTATGCTATTTAATTTAAGAACCTTAAATTAATTTTGAAATCCTTGTAAAACATGACTATTGGGGCTAGAGAAACTTGGACCAGCAGTCACCCATTTCTAAGCTCATGTGAACTCACATTGACCCCAAGTACGTTTTTCATATTGATATCACCCACAATCTCAAATAGCAAATGTTTATGGGCCTGCTGATATCTAACCCCATGTGAACTCTCACTGACTCCAGGATTGAGCCTTCTTAGGGGGAAAATATGATATTAAAAAATATGATATTAAAAAATGCAATTAAAAAGGGCTGTCAGTGATATTTTAAAGTAATAGAAAATTCTTTTTTTAGGTTATTATCTAAATTAAGCTATAAACTGATGTCATGACGGAGTGAGGGTGCTTTATTGCAACACATTAGAGCTGCAAAAAATGTATTAAGACCAGTGTTTCTTCCAGACTCCGGGGGGGGGGGGGGGTCAACATTTTCCGGGGGGTGGCGCAGACACTGGTAAAAGTACATGATTTCTATATAAATTCCATTTCGTTCGGGAGGGGAGGGGGGGGGGGCCTCCTATAACTCAGGAGGGTCATTGGGGCATGACTGTTGACTTTTTCACCCTTTTAAAATCTGCTTAAGTGAGTTAAATTTACATACTTTGCTACAGGATAATAAATGTATAATGTGACATGTATGTTTGCAGGAAGAATCCATCATGGGCACCACCAAGTACACCCCCACTAGATTATTGTTACGTGAGACTAGAACACATACCATCTGTCAATGCACTTTGCAGAGAGTTTTTTTGGCCTGGGATAGACAGTGAGTCTTGCATTTTTCTGACAGTCTAGAAATTAAAAATGCGTTGAAATCCTTTTTATAAGTTTTTATTTAGATCACAATGTCTGTTTGTTTTACTCTGTTTGTGAAATGTGGCATATCTTTGAGGTTTATTTTGACCTACTTCTAATGCAGTGATTTCATTCAAACTTTCCAGGTGACAATGCAAACATATCTATTTTTTAATCTAATTAGACATTAGGTTAGTCATTGAAATTTAATTTTAAAATTACTGAATGCAATAACTAACGGGGTGTAAATACTAGTGATCACTATCAGCTGGCAGTCTATGGTGAACTGTTTTTTTCACGGCTGAGTGACTATTTGCCGAGTGTGGACATGCAGGTGCAAATAATTATCTTTTGGAGATTGCAAACTACTGATAAATGTTTAACGCAAATATTTTTAGTCGTAGCCTATGTGGTGTCAACTTCATTACAATTAATTACTAAAAAGTCTAAAATACAACAAACATGCTCTCTTTAAATAAAACCTTTGGTTTATCTTTTATTAAAGAAAGCAAGTTTGTTTCACTCTCATTTTTTCAGTGCTTTTAAAAACTTATTATAATTAAGGTTTTTTGTTATGCTTATCACACATATTTTCTACAATATGCATTTCATTCTCTTCAACGTTTATATTTTCAGTGTCTGAATGCCTTCAATATCCAGATTTCAGTTGTGTAGTTTTATATAGGTATGAATAGAAAAACGATTTCACCTTTAACTTTTGCCTAGTACACACACAAGTTTGGGATTGGTATTTTATAATATATTGGCCATCTTGTTTTAACTGTGCAGTGAAACAGTTGACAGAAGTATTTTGTTGCATGTATAATCTATACACATATAAATGAATGACTGACTGTTATGTATTACTACCCCATTAATCTGATAGCTTCAAAACTCAGGAGCTTGTTAACTACACTCCAGGGAAGTTCTCTGCCATTAGAAAATTGTGTGTGGCTGGCACCCAGAGTGCCCCAATGGCTATCTTAGCACCAGGATATCTGAATCTGTTGATACCTGTTACTGTACTCACACCCAAGCGGATGTCAGAAAACATAGATTCACCCAATCACACTATTTGTTTTATAAATTTCTTCACTTCATCCCATGTCACTTTGTTGAGTGAAACATCACTTTGTTCTAGTCCTTTTGTTTAGTGAATAAACGACAGAATAACCTCAATAACATGCATGTATGTGGTCAAAGCTGCAGTCTAGTTTGTGCACTGCCTACCTCATCCAATAAACCAATTACAATTCTCATTCTCTCAAGTAGCCACTGGACAAAGATTTGACTATAGAGGACTGAATTGCTTCTGAGACATGGTTTCATTTACAACTTGCACATGCAATTAATGTTCAATAGCTGCTTTTTCAAAGTTATGACAATCTTTGCTTCTGGGCATTTATAATTGTACCAGACAAGTTACATAGATGATCTGTAAATACCTTTCACATATCTTCAGTGTCGATTTTATTGGTTATTTTGTCACAGCTGTTCTGTTTATTTTTTTTTTCTTTTAGAAAAATTGTAATAGCATTTGCCTTTATGGTCCCTGATCGAGGATATAACGAAGCTTACATCTCTTTCATCTTTACTCACCCAGAATGGAGAGGAGCTGGTATAGCTACTTTCATGTTGTATCACCTCATACAGGTAAACTGTCATGTTGAGTGTTGAAAAGTTTTAGAACTCTTCAGTTGATTTTCTAATTCATGCATACTACATTTAAGCAAAAAAATGTTGGTGAGTCTGGACATTAATCTATTGCTTCAGTATGTCCTATCTATGATACTGATTGATACTTTAAAAATATAAACTGAGTCAATTTTTAAAAATCCTCCATTGAAGCTGATTTTTATATTAATGATGCTAGTTTTTAAACTACAGAATAGCAAATAAATTAAATCTTTTCCCCTTACAGACTTGTATGGGTAAAGATGTATTGCTGCATGTGTCAGCCACCAACACAGCAATGCTGCTGTATCAGAGATTTGGCTTCAAATGTCAGGAGTTTATTCTCAACTTCTACCACAAGTATTTTCCAGTAGATGCCAAAGATTCAAAACATGCTTTTCTTATGAGACTAAGTAGATGACCTGTAAATAAATTTCAGATAACCAATCTTATGTTTTTGTATTTCCCATTAAACAAAAAACAAAACGCCTAAAATGTATAATGAAAAGTTTATTATTTTTAACATTAAAACATACAGCTAGCCACCACAAAAAAAAATAAGAAAATCCCATTTATTACATTTTTGTCAACATTAATAGTACAGAAAAATAATTACATTGAAAATTCAAGTGCTTGGAATTTCAGTTTTAGTTATTCTGTACCAGCTACAAAATCTTTAGAAACCATTTTGCTAAACTGCAATAAAATGTTTAAAAAACTTATTGATTTTAAAAGCTTAGAAACTAAAGTAATGGGATTCCTTTTCCCAGTTCCATCAAGAATACTTGGTGGCTTTGTGCATGTTAAACTCACAGAAAGTTATGACTCATATATACTTGTGTAATGTTGCCTAAAACCAAATCATCTATGCCAGGTACAGTGTAGATGCCATAGATTGTATTTTTACAATGCTCTGACACAATGGTTCAATGTGCATGATCTGACTGAATCAAAATGTTGAGGTAGATCAGCAATTCACTCTGTATGGTTTTCTGTACACACTCGACACTGTCATCTATAGATTCTTCAGCAAAGAATCGACATATGCATTCGCTCTTGAAAATGAGCTGTGCATTAATTTTTTATTCTAATTGCATTGCGTGAAGTTGAATGATGATGTCCTTATGATTGTGATAAAAAAATATCAATGCTGGTTTTCTCAGATACTTAAGGCAATATAGTATGCTGTAATCGGAGGACATGATTAGGCTAGTTATATAGTCTAACCCTCTTCTCTTTAAAACAAGATATCATTCTTGTCCTCTCCTGCTCTACACACCATAAGGTAGTAAAAACCTTTTTCTATTAAAATTGGCAAACAATATGATGCCATTATTAGTTGTTGTATTCATGTTCTTATAATGATTCTAGGGAAAGCAAAACCATAACAACCACAACTTGTGTTAATGACTTGATCATTTAAAAAAGCCTTTCAAAACTATAAATATTCTTACAACACATCCCTGATAATCTAATGTATAAAATACATAATTACAACAGAAGCAAACTAAAGCAACAAAGGTTAAGCACAGTAGAAATCTGCAAGCAACTGTCGATATTAACACAACACATAGCTCTTGAACAGAAAAAGACAAAAGGGCATTTTGGGCCAGTTAATTGTAACTAAAATGAATTAAGATCAGTATAAATTTGATCTGAAAATATTTACAAAACTTTTCATATATAGATTTTTCTTTATATTTTTCTAATTAAATATTAACAATTAAGCTTTTTGTCTGCGTTCACATGGGACAAGTCCAATATCTCTATTTCTATACACAATACCACATTACAATGGTGTTTTGTTTATCACAGGCTATTATTAAAATCTTGCCATTCCAACAACCAAGCTATACCTACAGCTTTCTTTCTCAACACCAGAATAATGCTGTCTTACACCACAGAAGTAGGGAGATAACACCTTTATACAACCAATTGTCCCAGTCCTTTCTTAAAAGCCAAAACATTTGTTAAATTTCTTTTAAGGTCCAGCAATACCAATCACTTAAAAATTTTAAAGTGCCAGTGGGACAGTAAAATCAGTACTGTATTAAAACAAATCCAGTTGTATATACATAGATTAATAAAAATATTTACAAACCTACAAAGTAAAACTCCAAAGTGAACTATCAATAGGTACTGTACTGTAACAGCAAATGGGATGGATAAGCAAGTGCAATAACATGGTGGTATTCTAATAGAGTCCACACATGTTTTAATGACCATATTTACATGAAACCTTCTATATTGAAGATTTAAAATAATTTTGAGTAAAAAAAAATACAAAAGTTTTTTATTTTTTTAAAAACCTATTCATTTCATTTATAAACATACTAAATCTAGAATTAAATGAACTATGATCAGCTTGTGCAACAAAAAAGGTTCAGAATGTTTAAATATTGGAAAATAAATAAGAGTATTATTTACACTGGAAAGTCAGGCTTTAAAACCTTACTGGGTTAGACATTTTAATGTATTATTGAACTAGACTAGTAATAATAGAATTCTATGGAACTTTAAAAAACGACACTAACTGTGAAAATATATTTAAAATGAAATGGATAAAAAGCCTTTAATACAAAATTTTGATTTTTAATGCAATTTAAAAAATTATGAATTTTCAAAAACATTTAATGAAGGTATATAAAAACTGAATTAAAAATGTATTTGTTTAAAATTTACTTTTTAGCTCATAAAAAAACAAAAAACAATATATCAAAGACTTAAAATTTTTAGGTCAAAGATAATCAATACTTGCAACACAATAAGTGAGTAATTGGTGATTAAATTACAACAGTTGAAAAAGTTACATTAAGCTGCTCATGTCACTGGAAAATTAAAATAAAGCATTTTTTACATGTTTTTACATTTCAGTTAAAAAATAATATAATATACACAAAATCTATTCGTTTGAAACAATTTTTTAAACTGGCTGTTTTAAAATTCTTAAAAATAGTTTTGAAAAGAGTTTATTAACAAATACATAGCATGGGCATTTAGTTCTTTTTACTACATCTGAGGCAATCACAGGGAGTCCTTAGAAACAGAAAAACTAGTCTATGTACCTCTGATATTCACACTAAAAATACCTGGCCAATTTCTTCTTTGTTAAGTTAAAGTGTTAGAAAAAAAACATTGGTTCACATAAATACTAAAGAAACTGTTAACAAATTGATTATTAGTATGTAAGCCAAACTTTTCAAAAGATTTTAACGAGAAAAAAATATATTTACAATGTTTTAGTGGTATGTGTTGTGCACATAATTTTTTTTACAATCTAATGTTTATTGCTACATGATTTTTTAGATAAGAAGAATATACTCTTATAGCTTATGCAATAACTTATGGCAGGGACAGTTAAATTGATTAGTGAGAGTAATGAGTTTAATGAGGATTATTCACAGTGTTGCTCACAGTTATTTGGCCATTTCTTGTCTGTTTGGGCATAACAACAATCCATCGCAAGTCTGAAATTAAATTTAAAAAAAATCGCATGAGTACACAGAAACATTAACAGTTGAAGTTGATATACATAAAAAAAAAAATCTTATTTTTTTAGAATAGAGTATAGTCACAGCATGCATTGAATCAACATTAAAAGCTTTAACATAGATGTGCAGACAAAAAAATACACCTAATAGAATAATTATCAATATTTATAATTTTCACACCTTTAACACAGCACTACATACATCTATTTGATCTACTTTTAGACTGAAAATATACTAGAGTAATTTGTAACTGAATATTTTAATGCACAGCCAAGCATTCAATTCAGTATAAATAAAAAATTATGGACATTAACTCTTTAACTAATTAATAACTACTTTTAAAAAGATTCACATATTTTGACCTGGTAACCCTCCTCTATTCATGTTTGTGTTTAAATATGACAGGCAATTCTTGGATGGTTAATTTTAAACTTAAATACAAAAAAAAAGGCTGTAGCATTTAAACCATAATCATACTAATAAGAAGCAAAGCATGCGTGTAGAAACTACAAACAATCTCATTATATAATAATAAGTTTTAACTTGCATTTGTGCAATATATCTGTTGTAGTAACGGTCATTACACACAGACTTGAGTAATATATCTATTTAGTAATGGTCATTACACATTATTTATTTTTTAAGTTCACAATAGCTGTTTTTTGGTCTGTGGTGAATCTTTTGACCCATATTTAATTAGTGGATAAAATTTATATAAGTTTACTATTTTCAATAATAAAATGGGAATAAGCAACAAGATTAATCTCAAGCGATTTCTTGATCAACCTGATTACAACAATGAACTGTTAATCTAGGAAGGTTTTACGCCTGAGAATACTGGCATTAAAAAGGTAGATGATAATCCTTTGGAGATCGCTAATACTTAAGTCATATTTTGTGTTGGCTTAGTCAAGAACAAATAAATAAAAAGCAGAAAATGTAAAAAATATGAAGTAAGTTTTTAAATACACTGAAAATTTTTTTAAACTATTAAAACAAACATGCTTACTTTAAAAAACACATTGGTCGCTTATAAATTCTCTTACACATTTTAACGATCACTTAAAGAAAGCAAGTTTATTTTTAAAATTTGCATAACTATTTATGAAGGTTCTTATATTTCTTATACTTTATACTGGGAGTCAACTTGAAAAAGAAAACTGAAAAAACAAAATAACTTGCTATGTCTATTTTCTGTTATGAAGGGAAAATATGCAAAAATAATTATTGTTTTAGGCCATGCCATAAGATAGAAGACTGAATTAAACATTTTAAATACTAACTCTATACACTTCAAAAAGTAACATGGCAACAGTGTAATGACCGTGATGGTATTAATTTTAAAGAGCAAACTTAATTATTTAAAATAGTGATTTTAAAAATTAAGCTCACCAAATATTGAAATTAACTTTCAGAATAAAAAAACAACAAAAACAACGAGCACTAAAGTATTTCTAAATATAATAATGAGGTAATGTGCAACAAGTTATTTTAGTTAACATTTAATAATTGACAACACTTAAGTATTTCTATGGTTTCAAATAATGTTACTTTACATATCTTAGCATATTGAGACCTGTTCTATTTTTACATGCACAATTTTACTTTATTTTTTTAATAGTCAAAGCACAAACATTTGTTTGCAACTGAAATATTATTATTAATATATGCTATTGAGGTGTTAAGGGTCAGTCTTACAGTGTTATTCACAGATATTAGAATTACTAGTAAACTAAATTAATATGTATTACCCAAGTCATCATTTAACTTAGTATAATATACCAGAAAAACATCAAGCTCTAAATATAAAAGAAAACTACTTCACCAAAGATAAATGCTAAAGTACAAATAAGCTACTGCACTAGACAAAGGGATATAACAAAATTGTAGTCTGATAGGGAAATACAACAACTAAAAAAGTCACTTAAGCCTGTGAATACAAATTCAAAAATGCCATATGGATGACCATAGAGAAAAACCGTACCCTTTATTGATGAGGATGGTGATTTTTGTTGCGATAATAATGCCGGTGTTGCTGATAAGTGCGCCCTGAACCACCAGCAGATCCTACACCCATGCGAAATAAAGGTGGGGGATGCTGCTCCCACTGACCTGCCCCAAATGAGTGGTCCACAGCCCCATTTGGTGAATGTGTTTGGTCTAGAAAATTATGACCTCCCATATCTCTAAATCCTGGTAGAGGAAAGAACTGGTGCATAGAATATTTGGGTTTACTGAAGCGCAACTGGCCACTTTGAGCTTTTGGAGGCTGACAGTTATAACCCCAGTGAGGACTGCCTAGACGAAACCCATAAGATCTAAAAGTTGATGGATGGTTTGGTTTTGCAGGTGGAGTGGTTTCATTTGTCAAGAGCACAGATGATCTAGGTCCCATCAGAGGGCCTAGGTTTTGCAAAGGTTTAGTAGATTTAGCTTGTGGTTCTTGCAAATCCAATATATATCCATCTGATGATGTTAAACAAGGTAGTTGCTCTTGCTCCATACAACTACTGGCTTTTTTTTCATCTATCTGTCCTGTTGGTAGGAGACACCTATCTTTGCTACCTGAAGTAAAATGACTAACAGGTGGAAATGATGGCACTTCAGGCATCACAGCTGAATTATGAAAAGTCCTTGAATAGCAATCTTTATTTGAGGGGCTTTCCAGATTAGTTGCACCAGTATCATGATTTGGATAAAGTGATCTTTTGGAATCTTCATAACAGGTATTGTCAGAACTAATTATGTTCAAATTATTTTTTTTTGAAATGTGATTCTCTTGTACAGTTGGTGTATGAGAAATAGAAGAATATTCTTCTGAGTCAGGGGATATATAAGATGTGTTGTTAGCATTGTAGTCTTTTATGGTATCCCTAAAATCATCCATTTTAGCTGATTTAACAATAAGGTGTGTATTCCTAACTACAGTTTCATCAGATGTCTTGTGCAGGATTTTTTTATTTATTTCTTTGGAGTCTCTTGATAAGTTCCTTTCTTCCAACTGTTTGGTAAATACTTTCTCAGTTGCACTTGCAAGTTCAATTTTCTCAGAGTCTATAAAAGTTGGTGACTCAACTGAACTTTTAGAATACATATAACTTTTAACGGGTCCTGAAGTGGTAGTCTTAACCATGGAAGATGGTGATAAGATGGTTAGCTGGTTTTGAAGAGGACTTCTTATTCCATTTGGACTACGTGAGTGATCACTTGTGACCATTTGATAACCATGAGCTTGTGTTGATATAGACAAAGGTGAAAGTGCAGTTGATCCTCCCAGTTTATGATTTGAAAATGCAGTTGGACCAGTATTCCTAAGACCATAATTCAAGCCATTTAGGTTTGGACTAGGCATAGGAGAATACTGCACGGATGGAACAGGAGAACAAATATTCAGGCTTGTTGGGGGATGTAATGTAGATAGTTTTCTAGGTGGTGTTTTTTTCTCTTTTCTATGCTCCTCTTCTTTTTCAGAGCTGCTGTCCGAGCATGTACTGCTACTACTGCTAGAGTGACATGAATCACAACTGGAACCTCTTGATGATGAAGAACTGCTATTGCTTGCTGACCTGGAGCGACTCTGATGAGTGAACAAAGGGGAACCTGGGGGTGTATGTGGTCCCTTTATTCCAGTCATATCAATTAGGGATGGTGGACAATTATCATCAACAGTTATTTTTGGTTCATCAGTTAATGCAGGATCTGAGAGTGGAGAATCTGGTAAAGAATGGAATACTGGGGTAGGTTGTGGTGTGGGTGGTAAAGGAAAGGATGCAATTTCTTTCTGCAACTGGGTTTCTACTTTATTGTCTAGGGCAATCAGAGTTCCAGGAGCTGACTTGAAATCTATGCTTTTTAGTGATGATTCACTCTCAGAACTAGATGTCATCATTTCAGCATTATCAGTATCATCATCAATTTGACCATTCTGTGACATTGATCTGGGAGTCAGTAGACTATCAAGATTATCCAAATTAGATGCAATCGACAGAGAATGTTGTAAAAGCTCATTTTTTTCTGCTTCATTTAACTGTTCAGTGTCCACTTTAACCGCCTCTGCAGTCTGGCTTTTATTTTCTATTTTACAACTAGAATTAGTATCATCACAATTGTTAAAATTTAAGCCATTTTTATCAGACAGTCTATTTTCTACCTGAGCTCTCTTGTTAGAATTCATTCTGCTTGATTTTAAATCCAGTGTAAATGGCCGCGTGGGTTTTTTCTCAATTTCATGAACTCTTTTTCTACTTAGATGATGGGAAGCTGTTTGTAAAGGTAGTTTAGATAAATCTGTATGTTCCAATTTCACACTTGATTTTGAAGTGTTTCTCAAATTTAGTTTTTGTGTTCTGGTTTCTGATCTACATGTTCTGCTTGAGTTGTCACCCTTGTCAAAGTTCTTTTTATCTAACTTTTGTGTTGATGAGTTAACTGTTGCATTTTTAGTCTTATTATTTGAGCAGTTGGTTGTTTTTTCAAAACTGTCCTTTTTGTGTGATTTTAAAATTGGGGATATAGCCCTCTCCAGTACAGGCGGTCCTGGTGATAATTCTCTTGACAAACTTAATTTCTTTTCCTTAGATGTGTGTCTGGCCTCAGATTTTTCATCCTTCAGTAAATGTTGATGACTGCTATTCCTGTAGGATGACACTAAGACTTCCTTTGATGTATGTGATTTGCTTTGACTATCATGTTTCTTATCAGAGTGTTTCTTTGATGATTTTTTTCTTTCCCTGCTTTTTAATATTGATTCATGTTCACTACATTTTCTTTTGGGGCTGCTTTTCCCCCCAGATAAATTTAGTTTTTCACTTCTTGAACAAATTTCATTATCAAGAGTAGGTGCTACTTTTAAAGATGAAAAAGACAGTCGACCAGACACTCTAGATTTATGGTCACGAGCACTGGATGAATGAACTTTTATTTTTTTATTTAGTATTTCTATTTTATCAAGATTTTGATGTCTTTTTGGTTTCTCCTGAGTTGACATTCTATTATCTCTCCTATGTTTGTGTTTAAGTGAATCTTTACTGCTTTTAAAAGCATGCACATTTTTTGACATGCTATTTGACCTAACAGTTTCACTTTTGCATTTTACTTTATCAGCATATTTATATTCTTGTGCCTTTACATTCAAATTGTGCTGATTAGAAATTTTCTTTTCTGCAAATTCATGTCTGCTAAATGAAGAGCTGGGTACATGGATATAGTCAGATATCTTCAGAGGCAAACTCTGTACATTTTTAAGGAAACTGTTTCTTTCTAATGTATCACTTATTTTAGGGTCATTGATTTCTTTGACAGCTGAAAATGTCTGATGAAGATTGCTCCTTTCTACACTGTCAGCACAACAATGTTCATAAGTTAGTGAAGATTTCTGAAGATCTGTACAAGATCCTGCCCATTTTTCCAGCAGAGCTTCACGCTTCAAAATCACAGACAAACTTTTTTTACACTTGTCTTCCAATCTATCCCATTCTTCCTTGTTTACAAGATTACCATCTACAAAAGAATAATCACTAACAAGTGCTGCAAGCTCTGATCTCTGCTCGCACAAACTGAAATGCTTTGCTCTTTTTAGGGCTGGTTCTTTATACAAAGTATGCAAAAGTTTAGCAGATAGTTGTCTAGTCTGCCTGCGATCAGTCACTGCATTTGTTTCCAAATCATTCACAAAGCTAGAAATAGAATGGTCCAAAGCATATTTTTGCATAGATGTCTTAGATATTTTTCGTTTTTTACTAGTCTTGTGTGAATGCTTGAACTCTGTTAAAACAACATCAACAAGACCATCCAAATCAGACACCACTAGGGAGCTACACTGTGGTGATTGCAAACAACCTAAGGAAAAGAATGAAAGAAAAAAAAAGAAAGCCAAGCTTCTGTAAATTTGTTTTGGCTGAGAAGCTCTTCCAAGTCTCTACATCTTTCTTTTTTTAAGCACTAAGTTTTGATGGGTAGAGGATTGTGTCATGATGCTAGATCCTGTAAATCAAAATTCTAGCTACCATACATTCTAAAAACACTGTGAAAAGCATCAGGAAACTTGTTCAATATATGTGTCAGTTTCCAAACAGATCATGAATAGAGGAGATGGGTTTGTCAGAACTTTACCAAAATAAATAAACACCTTTGTGTATAAGTTATACATTTGTGTCATAATATAATTATTTATACAATGAAAAAAATGTTGAGAAAAACTTACCTTTTCCATCCACAACTCCAGAAGGTAATAATTTGACTGCATGCCCCAGTGTTTCTGTGTGCCCCAGTGCACCTTGGCCAAGTGATATAACTCCATTGCTATTTGAACTGCAATTGCCATTCAAAACTGTTCCAGGTTTGGATGGTAGAAGTAAAGGCTGTTGCTGTAATATTTTGATGAGTGATGGTTGGGTCCCATTACAGGCAGGACTTATTGGCACAGTGTGAGGATGCTGGATGGTCACAAAGGGAAGAGAAGCAGTGGTCTTCCCATTGTTATTGTTGTTGATAATGTGACCTATATTTACAGTTGATGGGTGAATGGATGAGTTTGATGAGAGACGGTCCGAGTTGGTTGTTAACATTTGTGCCAAACTTGAGTTGGGGTTGTGTCCAGGTTGGGGTGAACGAATTGGATGGGACTGTTGAAGTGAAGCCAATGTTGAAATTTTTACATCATTCCTACATTCTATATTTCTAACCTTGGTCGGAGGATTAGCTGGGACCTCTGAACTTTTGTGCTTTAAAAGTCCATTTAATGGTAGGCTACATATAACATTTACACCAACTGTTTTATCAGCTGTACTTGAGAGCTGTCTATTAGGGTCTGATGATAAGATAGTGCTGCCAAGATAGTGACTGGGATTAGCTATAGAAGCTTGAGCAATTCCTTCACTTGTGGAAGGAGTTATTGCACCAGTTAAAGTATTTCTGCTGCCACGATTACTGCTGCCTTTCTGAGCTTTCTGGTGGACTAATATAGCTGGCCTAGAGTCACTTTGGGAATAAAGTTTATTTACTGTAGAACTGGGATCATACCTTATAAATGTTTGTATATCTTTGCCAGGACTACCAATACCTTCCTTTAATGATATCAAATCTTCTGCAGCAGATTTTTCACTTTCCGTATATACAACAGAGGTAGATGACAGATTGCTAGGTAAACTGCTACGAAGATCAGTATTTTGTAACAGAGTAAATGAACTAGAATGATTAATTTTTCCTCTAAGTAGACTTTTTACTCCGCTGCATCTGGGAGGTTTCTTGATATCTATTTTAGTGCCAGGAGGAAGTATACGAGGAGAGGTTACAGACACAAGACCTTCTTCTTTCACTTCAGATGTCCAGGATGATGAAGTCAATGGCATCTTCGTTCTTTCAAGAGCTTCTTTTATAGTTATTTCAGGTGCCTTGAATTGCTGATTATTACAAGTATTAATTTTTACATCTTTATTTTCTCTTAATCCATTCATTTGTTTATAATCAACATTTCCAAATACAGGTGATTCTTTATTGCTGCTTTCTAAAGCTTTTAGATTCAATTCACTTTTCTTGCTGACATCAGTGTTTAATCCATCCAATGAAGGAGCTTTAGTACCACTATTCTGTAAGGCTTCAGAGAATTCCTTTTTTAAGGTGGTCAAAACTTCACCAAATGTATCATAATTTTCTTTCATGTCCAGTTTTTCTTTTAATATTACTGACTGAACAGCTGTCTTGTTTTGTGCGCAGCTCATTTGTTTGTCTTCAATATTTTTGCCGAATTCAGAACCATTGAGTGGGTTGCCCAGTTCTGATTTAGTTGTATACATTTTGTTAACATCTTGTAAATGTTTAAGTTCCAAATGCAAGCGGTCAACATCAGCCAAAAGTTTGTGCTGGTCAGCTTGGTATTTTTCAGATGAAAGAATAGAATGACCAGAAAATCCATTCTGAAATTTTAATAAATAATGTTTATTTAGTAAAAGATACATCTTGTTTAATGCTAATACTTTACTGTATATGAATTAAGATTCTTACTTTTGACTGCTTTGTGTAAGCTGCTGAGTCATAAACATTGCGGTATGCAGTAATCTGAAAGAACAAAATAGTTTTTTTCAAATAAACATAAAAATAGGTTACAATAGTTCTGTTTATGAATGATGTAAAAAAAAAAAACAATGTTTTTAAAATCTGCCAAACTATATGGTAGTATCTCTAAAATTTGTAGATTACATTTTAGAGCTTTCTGTAAAGACTTAAAATGGCAATGATTTTCATAAATTTCTAAAAAAAGATGTCCACAAAATTAGAATTTAAAAGGTGCAGCTAATCACAAAAAAATCAATTTTTTGTGGTTTCAAGGTGAATAGTCATAAAATATATTTTGTCAACTATATAATGGACCTTTCAATAACAGGAAGCTCTAAGAGACATGACTTCCAAACTACAAACACAATGAAGAGTGATGAGAATGATCTGTAGAAATTTATAGACCTTTTCATTTTGTTCAGCTTGAAGAGCATTTATCTGTGCCCCTAAAGAGGCAGTCTCTGATTTAAGTTCACGATGACGAAAAACAATGTCTTTAGCCTGATTGATAAGTTCTTGCGGAGACTCCGCTTTAATACCCATCTAGACAGGGATGAAAAGGAAAGGAATAGAAGATCTTAGACAAGCAAATTCACAATATTTTTGCTTGCTTTCTTTTTCAAGAAATCTAAAACTCCAAAATTTCAACAAGCATGCCAAACAAATTTTTTTGCACAATTTTTTTCTCACCTCTTTCAGGCGATCTTTTATAAGCCGAACACCATCTTTTTGCAAAAGTGATATGTCTTTTTCTAATGCATCAGTCTTTGTGAGCAGCTCTGAATTTTTCAGCTAAGCAAAACAAAATACTTTACTAATCAAAAGTATATTAATGAAATTTTTAAAATGCTAAACTTAATTTATAAAGATGAGATCATTAAAATAATTAAACAATGATGTAACTTTCTATTGTCAAAGATGGATGTATAGAAATGTAAAGTAATTATAGAAACAAGTGAGTTGTTAACCTTTTCCTGTTCTATTTGCAGCATTAACATTGATCTATACTGTGGTGTCTGCATAAATGTCAAGAATGACAAGAAACGTTGCTTCATATTTTCTGTAATACAATTTTATTATAAAAATTCAAGAGATTTCTGCAGTAATTTTAATTAACTTAAAATATTTTAAGGTTGACAAGTAAAATATTTTACAATAATTAAACCAAAACATACGACAACAATTAATAAACACGACAACAATTAATAAACACGGGGGGGGGGAAAAAGGCCTACCTATCATCTGTAAAAAACCTGCTTGTTTTTCTAACATTGAAACTGTTTGCTTTTGAATAGTAGGTTTGAAATAAGCACTAGATGGTTCAGTCATTCTGCGATCATTATAGCTTATTTTTTCATCATTATCTGTGAAAAATATAAATATTTTGTTAAATGTAAAAATGTTACGTAACCGTAACTTAAATTTTGCTTTTAAAAGACCTAATTTTTATTGTTACTTAACTATTTTGCAAAATAGAACAAAACAAAACTATAATAAGGGATGTGACCAGATCAAAAATTTTAAAATCAGACCAGACTCAATAAGTTTCATGAAGAAGCCATCCATCATCCATCGCCATTTTTGTAATAATTTAAAGGATTTCAAGGATTTTTCCTGTAAGTTTAAAGACCAGTAGATCTAGGCCCACACTAAGCCTACATCAGTATTTTGTATAAGTTAAGACGTAGATAGCCATGTTAACGAGAGGAATTTTACCCCAACCAATTTTGTCATTAATAGCTCTACAGCCACGTAAAACAAATAGCATTAAAACATTTGGTATACATCCCCACTCACCTCTCCAATAATTTATTTTTTCATGACTGCCTACAACTTCTGACTAGCTTTATGAAATTATGAAAAATAGGGGGTAAAATCTAGAGGTACATGGTGTTTACACGGCAACAGTAAGCTTACACGCCGTAGACTAACTATTACATATCTTTGAAAGACATAGGCTAGTTACTGAGTGAATTGCATTATTCTATAAAACCAGCAAAACAGTCATAAAGGAGGGGAAGATGCAACCATCTGAATATGGGTAGCAAAACAGAAAAATGGATCGGCTGAAACTATATTTTTCAAAAAGTAGATTGGCGGAAAAAAAAATTCTGCTGAAACGTTTTCTGAGTTGGAAAAGGCAGTTTCCGGAACAAAAGCTGAAAAGTTACATTTATGTTTAACAGAAGGTGAATTTAAAATAAAGGTAGATAAATTATGTCCAGACTAATAGGCATGCAAGATCAAGGGTAAAGAAATTGGGCATGGGATATTTTTTTAAAAACATTTTCCGAATTTTTTTTGTGGTAAAAAATTTTAGCTTGAAAAACATCAATGGGAAAATTCAGAAGGAAAATAATTAGGAAAACTCAGAAATCACCTTAAATTCAGAAAAAGTCACATCCCTATATAGTTCTTAGAGAAAACAACACAACAATCTAACCTTTGCCTGAGGTGGACATGATTGTATGTGCATGCAGTAAATTTAAACTATCAAGAGAAGGTGGTAATGAAGTTCCGGTAGAATGACCCAATGGGTTGCCAGAAACAGTGTGCGTTGTGGTAGTAACAGTGGGTGTTGCTGAAGAAGATATTCCATTGGCTTTCTTTGGTTCTGTATTTTGTTTCAGCCTGGGACGGAGTTTTACTGCTGCCTTTGATTTAACAGGGGAAACTGGCTCTTCAGCTTTTTTACCAACTGTTGGTGACAGTAAAATATTAATTGATGGAAGTTAATAAAAAAAAAACATTGTAAGAATACCATTTAAGATGTTTAAAAGTTTGTATAAGTGTGAATACATAACTGACCTTGCATTTGACGCTTGCCTAGGGCTCCATTATTTAACCGCTTAACAGTTTTCATTTTCTTCTTCTTGATTTGTTTAGAGATCTCTTTTGATTTAACATCCTGCACCACATCTGCTGTCTTTTTGAATGAAAAAAGTGAACATTTATAGTATGCAACCTACATGAGTATAAAATTTAAACTGAAACACAAAACATTAGCAAGGTAAAAATCAAAGCAAATTTCAAGACTTTCCTATTACAATTAATATTCTGTGAAGCACAATTTGGATATATCATATTTTCTTTTAACTTAATAAAAGAATCAACCCCCTTTATTTAAAAACCTGATCTGCAAGAATATAATTGTAAAGAGCTAATTATTGTGTGTAATTGTATGGCAACAAAGATATTTACTCAACAGTTGTCGTTTATAAAACAAAAACTATAATATAATAAATAGATTTAAGTTCATATTTCATTGGTAAATGCAGAAAGAAATATGAAATAATTTAGATTATCAGTTTCTCAGTACAGATTCAAATAAGGGTCTATCTATTTTTTTTCAAAATGTTAATTTTTTTTTTTTTAATAGCACTTGGTATAAAAATACTTTTTGCTAACTAACAAACAATTTAAAATGAATATGCAAGATGGCCTTTTCTGACAACTTACGGAGCTATCATTATCATTCTCTGTCCCAGACTGGGACAAAGGTTTCTTGACATATTCATTCCACTGCCTGCGAGTTGTAGGTCCATACACCACTCCAGTATCCTCTGGTGTTACAGCATTAGAAGGAATAAAACTGGAGTTGGTAAAGCTGGAGTTGGACCCACTATCAAAATCTAACATTTTGGCAGCTGAGAGTGGAGACACAGAGTCAACTTCACGTTGATTTCCACGTGCACGCCTACCACGGCCAGTGGAGTTAGAATCCTGTATTGCCATTGGGAATGAAGGTTGCAGTGGGTTCAGATAAACGTTTACTTTATTTATGTTGTAAAGTATCTTTTTACAGGATTTCCATAACTTTTTTTTAAAATCATTTCAACAAATAAAAAGAGTTTTAATGCTTGTAAAATACTAAGCATGATAATTAAACAAAAATACAACAAATAACTGATAAAATCAAAATTAAAGCCAATTGTAGTTTTTATCTAAAATTTTAAGAAGCACTTACAGATCCTGCTGAGAGTGCTCCATTGATTTTATCTTTAATTGATAAAACTGGTCTTCCCTTTCTGTCTTTTCTTGGTTCTAATTCATCCTATGGCAAACAAGCACTATATTAATTGCTGCACTTTCTTAAATAATATATATATATATATATATATATATATATATATATATATATATATATATATATATATATATATATATATATATATATATATATATATATATATTTATATATATATATAATTAATATATAACATGTTTTTTAAATTTTAAATGTCGCTATGCTATATATTTATAGTTTCACTCTTAAGATAGCACATTTAAAAAAAAGGATGCAAATAATTTCATGGAGCTGTTAAACTACATTTTTTGTTTTCATTTAAAAACCTTAAATGTAGGTAGTAGCATAAAAGTAAGTCCAAATAAATATAAACAGCTGAGCCTAATTTGTTCATGTTTGGCTTCTGTCATTCTAAGAAAGGGCTGTAACCATTTTATCATGTCCATATTCAGTTAAATAATCAACCATAGAAAATGCTATGCTAATGTAATCCCCTTGGAGTATTTTTATTCAATATCAATATTAGTAATATTGTATTGCACTATTTTATGGGTTATGTTTGGATTTAGAATTAATTTTTTTTAAAGGTTCTTAGGTATGTTTGAGTTTATGCAACTTTAAGATGGATTAGGTTTTAAATTATCGGGGTTAGTTTTAGCGTTGAAATTAAGGTTATGTTTTCTTTGGTTAGTATTAGATGAAAAGAAATTAAGTAAAATTGATGCTTTAAGTGCATTAAGGCCAACTTATTTATAGAATAGAATATGCTTACTTTCAGATAGTTATAAAAATTAATCTGATTATATTAAAATATCAAGGCATCTTTAACTTATAAAAAATGTAAAGAGATATATTAAAAATAACAAGTCACATTCAATTTACAAAAAAAAAAAGTTAATGTTTAAGCAATTTTAAACTAATTAATTTGTAACGTAAAAGATTGACAATGAAATGTTAAAAAGTATAACAAATGACAGAAATAAGCACACAAGTTGGGACAAATTCTAACAAAAATAATTGCAAATAAAAACACTAACTCTTTTAGCAGGATTTTTCAACCTTTGGAAGTACTTTTCTAGCTGAAATCATCAAAAGATTATTGTTAGGAATTCTATCAGTAATCAGCTGCATTTGTATAAAATAAAACTTATGAAGATGTTCACATTAGAATTTTTGTTTCTTATTTCTGGGAAATTTTGAAGATATTCAAAATTGCTAAATCAACATAAGAAACCAATGTGAACATCATAGAAAAGGAGTAAAAACACTTATTACCAATGTCCTGTCTATGGTGTGCACATAGTAAGCAAAGGGTTTTCCAGTCCACGAAACTGCACCACAAAGAGGTGATAATTCTTCAACTTGCATTATAGTTCCAATATCTAAAACAAAACAAAAGTAGCAAATTATAAACAAGATAGGTTTAAAGGATACTATCACCATGATTAAATGTAAATTTTTAAAAATTGAAAATTATCCAAGCACAAGATATTTCTTTAACTTGAATATGAAATTTTGTCTATATAAATGAAACATGGAAATTGTTCAAAAGTTGAAACCTGCGCACAATCTAATTTACTTATGTGTGAAATTTCGTCTACCTAACTTTAAAATGGTACACGTTATCGTCTTTAGAGTCCAGAAGCAGAGTGTGTTCCACTTCCGGTTGATAAGCAATAAATTTTTTGTAATACTTGTATGTAAAATTTGGTCATAATTAAAACAGTACTCAAGTTATCATGTTGACAAACACTGATGAATAGGGTTGCAAAAATAATTTTTCCAGCACTGGAAGGTTGTAAAAAGTCAAAATTTGTCAAAATCACTATGTAGATTTTTTCACTTAAAATACTTCCTTTATATTCTGTATACGATAAAGTAAAGAGGTGTAAAATAGCAAAAACTTTCTAAATTTCAATTAAATCAAGTGCACGATTACAACACTCTCTCTGTACTCTGTATATAAAAAAGTAGAAAGGCAATGCGCTTGTAATACCCAGTCCTAGGAAGTAAAACCAATTAATAATGTCATAGTAAATTGGGAGAGTTGAACCAATTTCTTTTATTTTAGCTCATTTGAGCAGTAAAATCACTGTAAAAAAAGTTTCAAATTTCCTAAGCTCATTCCTGTTTATGTTACACAGACAAAACATTATCCTTCATTTTCTTCAATACACTTAAAAACTTACCACTTAAATTTCTTTCAGTAATCCTAAAGTTTAATGGACAAAAAGCTTTAGATGAAACAATTCTTGCTCCTTCCTTTAGGCAATTGGCAAATCTTTGTTTCAACTGAGAAAATGAAACATTTGAGTAATCTACAAACTACAATTTTCAGGGGTACAAGGTTAAAACCAATTGAACAAGAAAATAACTTGATATATAATAAGTAATGTGTACATAAATAGTACCTCATGGTCCACAACAGGTCCAAATGCAAAGTTGTTAACAAATACAACCCTGGAAAATAAAAACAATTTTATTAATTATAATCCATCAAACATTGTTCTAGGTGAAAGGAACAGACTAACACTGCCCATACTTGACTGCTGGAAACTCCACAAAGCCACTATAACTTCCAAGATACCAAGAGTACATTTGATAACTTAAGTTTTGAACAGATGTTAAATGAGACTTTGGACAATAAACTTATTTTTCTTTGTAATTAATTGTAATATCTGAGAGGCATTTCCTCCAACACAAGTATTGTGTCAACATGTAATGCAACATATAAATATTTTTGCCAACCCAATAACAATTTGCTAGGCAGAAGTTATTTCATTTAGGAGTTTGTTCTCGCCCAAATGATTAGATGTCTCAAATTTACTAGCCTTATCTGACCAGGGTCAATAAAAAAGCTAAAATATTTAAACCAGAAGAAAAAAGTTTCTTTTACTAAGTGAATTTAATTCATAAATTTACTCTAAGTGCCATTACAGTTAATAGCAAACACTTCAGAAATTACAGAAATGTTTTTCACTTCAACAAATACTGTAATGTATACTTTGAATAACATTGTCATGTCTTGGAGTAAAAAAAACTATTTGAGGTGAAAATAATTATTGCTATATTTTATACGGAAGCTAGTCTTCTTATAATATTTTATCCTACAGCTACCTTTATTTTTCATTATTTCTGTTAGTTACCAATTAAAACTGGGTATAATGAATGTTGGCCACAAACATATTTAAATGAATTGCTTACGTGGCTTTATTTAGCTTCTCCTTTACATCATCTTGTAAAAAATCACCTTTTTCAATCTAAGAGTAAAGAAAATATGCAAAACAACTATCAAGTAATGTCTAGTTTGTTTAACTATATATAACACTGATTTTCAAATTTTGGCAGAAAAAAATTAATGCATGATAACTTACTAAAAACTCTTGATGTTCTTTACCATACCATTTCATCCATCTACGAAACTCTCTTTCCATTCCCTGAAAATTAGGAAATTTTATCAGAGAAAGCTACATAGGATGAAAATTGCTACTTAAGCAGTTTGGTGTGTATACACCACATTAAATGCTAAGACAGACAATAAAGTTACTTGCGAATTTTTGTGATATTAAGAATTTATATCATAAATTCTAGATGACCAAGGTAGTTTGTTAAGACAGTCAATTCCAAGCAAGGCAACTGTAAATGCCATGCTTGTATTCAGAAAATATTTATTCAATATGGTTGCATGTGGGGTACAGAGATGGTTCAAAATATTTTATCCCCAGCATTTGAAGACATTTATACTCCATTAATGTACACATAAGAACACTACACTGAGTGAGACTTTAATGAGAATGGTCTAATAAAATAAAGCCTGATAATGATATACTAAATCACTGTGATATTAGTCATTTTTTTTCATTACACATTCATTAATTTTAATTCTGTAACATTATTTTGTCCTATGTTTAACTCTTTAAAAACGGGCAAAAAGATGAGTCGTTTTGTGACAATGTCAAACGTGGAAATAATTACTGGCTTAAAGAGTTAATGCAACAGAAATTCCAAAAATTCAATTTATTATTTAAGTAGCTGGAAGTAGGCTTTATAAATCATATATATTATAGAGGCAAAATAAATATCTTTGTTTTCAATTTTTCAACTGAACACAGAATATATTATTAAAAAAGTTTTTAAACAGTTAAAATACAAACAAGTGAGGTGAGAAGAAGCAATAAATGCTCCACCAAAACTCAACAAGTGTATTCATTATACTTATAATTTTTGCATTTGCCCATTTAACACAATAGGGAGAGGGGAATTCTGAAATTTGGGAAAATACTTACTATGGCATATTCTGCAGGCCATTCCGCTTTCTCAACACCATAACAAAACTTACAGTTAGTGGCAGCAGATACCTGCAGTACAACTTGACCAACACCTAAATGAGGTTTTTTTAAAAGAAAGTTTATCTAATACAAACCACCATACATTTTCATAAATATACTAAATTAGTAATTACATTTCAAATGTATATTAAGACAATTTTATAATTAATTATTTTTTATTATTTAGATTCTAAAATTTTTTGCACAAGTACAAGAATTTTTCTTCATTTCAAACTATAATTTGCAAATAAACTTTTTAAAAATCCACAAATTTGTGCATCTTTTTACAGTTTGTTATTAGTACTAGGAAATTGAAGTTTAAAAAATTGAAGTTCTCATTTTCTCAGTATAATCATTAATACTTTTATTGTAATGACTCTTTCATTTAGGTAGATTAAAAAAAAAAATCATGTTTTAAATTCTAGCACACCATCTTCTTTCCATTTTTAAATACTTTTGTTAACAAATCTAAAATGGGATATAATCATATTCACCACTGCCAAGATCAATAAAATAGTCATTTTCTGTGAACTTGATTGACTTGATCATCTGTTCAACCAATTCAAAGCTTGTTTCACCATATACCTATTCACATTGTATCAAATATTTAGAATAATATTTTCTTATGAGCAGTTAGATCTAAGATGCTAATAATATAAGAATAGATATTACATTCAGCTTTACAAATAACAAAATACCTCTGGTGAAAAAGGCTCATAATGATTTAGCTTTTCTGGATCTGTAACAGAGTGATTGTAGCATTGCTGCAATATATGTTTCAACTGTTTCATGCTTGGCTGTTTATTGAATTGTTTTTGTTTTTGTGATCCTTTGACCTGGAGGCAAAATGAAAATGTAAAAAAAAAAAACAAATTCATTACTTACAGGATTTTCTAGTTTTTTAGATAATTAAAAAGTGTGGTTAAAATATTTTCTGTTCATTTTTAAATTGGAGACTAAAATATACAATAAAGTAGTTTTCTCTCTTATGTAAAATATTCAAATTTTATATCATTTGAATTTAGCATATAACTAACTGATAGCAACCCTCTATAGGAACAGGACCAAGCCAATCGAACAAAGTAAGAAGGTTGTTAGTTATCTTTACATAATTACTTCCTTAACATTATTACTTCATTATTTTGATGAGATCCTTCAAAAATTGTGTGAAATTTATAAGCTAAAATTTAATAAGAGTATTTGTTCAAATTAAAATGAGCTAACAAATATTTTAAATACTGAGACAAACATATGTACTTACAAGCTGACGTATACCGTCAACAGCTTTGTTGTATCGGTCACACAAACTTCTTGTTTGTTCAAAATCATAACTAAAAAGATTTAAAATTACTAATCATAAAATGGTAGAAGAAGAATAAAATATTTTTTTTAAAAAACAATCATAACTAATTAGCAGTGAAATTATTGACCATCTAACACAAAAGACAAATTTAATACAATGAAAACTTTATTTACAAAGATGAAGGAATTGTTATATGAAGTAATCAACATTTACTTTCAACAAAATCCAGATAGAAATAGAAATTTTAAATAATTAACAAAAGAGGAAGGAAACTGAGAAAAATATAAGAACATTGTTATATATTAATTTAGTATAAGTATTATACTAACCTGGCAATGTCGTCATTTTCCTTAAGTATTCTTGTGTCTAATGGTATTTTTAGCTCAGGAAAATCCTCACAAACCAACCTAAATTTAACGGAAGTATCTGATTAACATTTTGTGGCACATTTCTTATTATGGGAAAAATTATGAGAAGCATAGAATAGTAATCCTCATAAAAGGTAACAATTTGAATAATTAAAAAGGCATGATTGAAGAATTGTTATTAGTGTGTGCCAGTATTCATTAATCCACTAGCTAATGTACATTTTAAGAGGCTAGTTTTATTTACATAGAACTAACTTGCTGATTCTTGAGTATTCTGGTATTATTAACAAGTCTGCAAATAATTATTAACTATTGACATGAAAATCATTTTACAACTGGCACACCAACCCCTTATTACATTTAGAAACATTTTTTAAGTAACATTGTTAAGAAATACAAAATCCTATTTGACATTCTTGAACCCTCCCCTCAATGGGTGAGTGACCTAATGGACACAAATGAGTTAGAACCAATGAGTTCCATCATTATTGTTGACAGATAAAATTTGTGTCTCTTTAAACTTTGCCTTCATCTTAACTATAAAGCTCAAATGACCTCTGGCAGAATAGTTTTTTAGTTTTTTAGTGATAAACAGGCATGTAGAAATGTGTTCTTGTTTAAATCCTTTAACTCTAAATATATCAACATTGTGCAATATTTTATGGTTTTAATTTTTGTACTTAAACCTAAATTAATGGGAGAAATCTTAATATTTATTAATTCTAAGATAACTCTTTGATTTCTTAACAAAACGTTTTAACTAACGTAAAAAGCAAAGAACAAAAAAAATGCTAATTTTTATATCTGAAAAAAATAGATGATTTACAAAAAAAAAGAAAAACTATCAAATTTGTATATATGTTTGTGGTAAGGCTTAGGGTTTATGTTTGTTTATGTTGACATTTAAAGTTATAATTGTGGTTTGGGTTAGGTTTATATATTTTAGGTGGAAAATTTAATATATTCCTGAAACCAGAGCAAGGCACACCCTGTTGAATAAACACGCATGCCACAGTCCTTTAAGGGTAAATTTTTCACAAAGGCCAGTTTACAAATAAAACTTAACCTGAAAAAATGTTAGAAATAAGTTCTCTATGCTTGGGGGTCATTCATAAATGACATAACACTGATTTATACCTCCCCCCCCTACATGTCACAAAAAGCCAGACCCCCCCTAAAATGATGTCACACCTCAGTCTACAACCCCCCCCCCTCTCAAAATCAGAGTTTCTTCCAGCCCCCCCCCCCCCCCCCCCCGAACGAAATGAAATTTATATAATTTATATAGAAAATATATACTTTTAACAGTGCCCCCCCCCCCCCCCCCCAGAAACACTGCTCAAAATTGATGTTGAATTTTTCTTAAAACATCGATATTTTTCCAAAATCTTGTCAGAATTCTGTCAACATGTAGTATTTTGATCAATTCCTATTACAATTTATTTAAAATCGTTTTCTAACGGCTAAAACTCATTTTCTAACATTGGTTTTTTGTAATGCAAAAAAATGCACACACCTCACAAAATTACGGACCCTCCCTCCCCCTACGACTGTGACGTCATTTTTGGACGACCCCTTGCAGCTTTTAAAACATTAACTCTTAAAATAAATTTAGGAGATTTTTGTTGGCTTAAGTAATTTTTAAAAAGTTTTTATAATGTCAACAATAATGACGGAAGGCTTTTGGTCTAAGGAAACCAACGCATGCCTAATGATCTCTCCTAGATCTGGGTCACCAAACTGACCTTGAATACGATTGCATTGTTGATGTATTTATTTTACCCTACTAGATTCTAGCATCTCGATCTATCTTTATTCTACAGATTTCCCCCCCCCCCCCCAGATTTGTCCTGCGATGTTACAGCTCTGCGACCTTTCGATTTTATACAAAAAAAGTGGTGGGGGGGGGGGGTATACGGGACGGCGCATAGAACTAACCCAGAACACACCGCCGCACTAGCCTAGACTATTGATCCACGCAGACGATCTTGGTCTCATTCTTGTCTCGTGGCCTCGTTCCTCTCAACACCGAGTTCTCGACCAGGAAAAAAAATAGTAGCCTATATCTCTTCGAATTTAGTTGACAAATATAGATCTACTAACAGATCAAAGGGCATTTGATTATAAAATCCTATTTTGATTCATAAAGGAGAGGTGGGAAGAAATACCACGCATAAGATGATTAGCATCATTGACAATTTCATACCCCAGTTATTTAGAAGAACAATAAATAGGCGGGGCATGGGCGACCCGTTCGCGGTCGTTTCGGTGACATTTTTCTCCAAATTAAAAATGCGAACTGTGACCTATTTAGATGCATAATTAAAACAATGAGGAAGCGGGTTAAGCAGGTCAATGTATACAAGTAAAACATGTAGGCTAGGTCTATGCATTAACTCTTTAATATAAATAGCATAATAAGCATAACAGATGCGAGAAATTATTATGCTACAAGATTTAATAACGAAGTATAAAAGCTCTCGGTAGATCTTACCATTACCCAAATAAATTTAAACGACATAGATGCAAGTTAGACCTAGAGCTACAATCAGTGGCGGCGCCAGGTTATTTAGCGCCCTAGGCAAAACCTATTAAAACGCCCCCCCCCCCGCAATTTTTTTTCGACCCCCCATATTATATATATATATATATATATATATATATATATATATATATATATATATATATATATATATATATATATATGATTGTGTGTGTATGTTAGAATATTACTTTAAAATTCTGTTTAGGATCTTGTCGTGCCAACAATTAATTTACTTTGAAAATCTAAATCTCACCCTGGCTAATGAGATTTCTAATTAAAAGTGAGAGAAAACAAGACATAGACCTATTTAAAAATCGAAATTGCACAGGCGCCGTCCCAAAGGAGACTCCAAACGAGGTAGATATTAAAATATAAAGGGTCATTACTAAAAATTATACACAGTAGAAATGAAGAAATTTAACTGCTACTTGGCATTACCGACTTATTTAATTGTTTTCTATACTAATTATGTGACACCAAAATAAAAAGTCAAAGTGACTGGTAAAAAGCGCCCCGACCTTTCTTAGTGAGGGAGGTTGGTGGCGCATTTTCCCCAAAGTGAATAACTATATATAGGCCTAATTTAAAGATGGGGTGCAAAATAGATAGTTCGTCCTGGGCACCTAAATAGATCGCTACGCCTTTGTATATTATCCTGTCTAAAGTTAATATAATGTAATCAGAAATATTAATTTTTATGTACTTTTTACTAATCGAGATTACACATTTTTGCGCCCCTCTATGGATAGCGCTCTAGGCAACCGCCTAGTTCGCCTTATAGCAGTGGTTCCCAACCTTTTTCGAGTGGCGACCCCCTTTTATAAAAATTAAGTGACCCGCGACCCCCATAGAATTAAAAAGCCGAAATTAGTATGGAAATCAATAAGCACTAAAATAAGATTTTCTAGTAGACTTTCAATATGAACTACTCTTGATAACTGTTTTAATACCATGAGTAAAATTGCATATAATTCACTAAACATTCGAGGTTAATTTTTTTTAAGTCTTTTTTTTTGTTAACGCCAACCTATGTCATTATCATTATCGTAATTTTGTTTTTAATCGAAATATAGTGTTCAAAATAAAATTATATTCTCGAAAAGTCAATCAATTTTACGTTTGGATATAAATGGTTAATACTACACCAAAATTGTGTCTCAAGTTTTTCATCTTCCGCGGAATCATTCTACAGATTAAAGAATTCATCTTGTAATTCATCGGAAATGCTGGCAACATCAAGGGAAGAAGAGAATGGATAATGCGTCAATGCAGATTCTTTTTTTCAGCTCAGAAAAATAGCGCTGCATTTCGATTTCAATAGATTCAAGATGCCCAGAAATTTCTTCTTTCAAAATTTTATTTATCTTACAATTAGATTCATCTACCACACTGCAGAGTTTCTCAAATTTACAATATTTCCAAGATTTATTTTCTTCGCCGATATTGCAGCTTTGATAAAAATGCCCCGAGATTATCATGGAAAGTGATAATATTCGTTCATTTTCCCTGAAGCTTCAGGTTATGCTAATGTTGATGTTCGAACACATCTGCTAGGTATGATGCTCTCTCCAACCACTCTATGTCGTTTTAAGTATACCAAAAGGTCTTGTTTCCTTTGCATTTCCAAGAACAATTTGATTTCAGATTTCAATTCAAAAACACGATTCACACCAATTCGTTTGACAGCCAGCGCGCTGTAGAGCAGAACCTCGTGATCTTTATTCAGGTCTTTGCTCAGTTCTTTGAAGGCTCCAGATTTTATATAATTTACGATTTATACTAGCAATGGAGTCATGATGGCGATTGGTGAGGGCAGTGGTTAGGGAGCTAAATCTTTTCTGCTTTCTGAAAGCCCGATTTTGACCTAAACATAGATGGTGGACCATCCGTACAATCACTCACAGCTGTTTTAACCCATTTTAATCATCCAATTTAAAATAAAACGTATTTATTTTCTCCATGCTATCTTCACAAAAGAGCAACTATTCTTTGCTATCATCTGAATAAATATAGACAAAGACCAGCAACTGCGAACACGAACTCGCGTCTTTTGATTTATCAACTTGAAAAGCAAACAATGGTGAAAGCTTAATTTCAATAAAAATGTGTTATTTAACATCTACGGACATGTAAGAATTAACTTCACCATCTTCAACATGCAGCGTTTGATGAGATTTTCTCCTATTGTGTTTTTTTTTTTTTTTTTTGCTTGGCATTTTCTGTCGCGACTTCATGTGATGCTTGCACTAATGCTGTGTTTCCTTGGTGAAAACTTCCTGTTCGATCAAGTCTCTGACGTTTGCAACAAGCTTCATACCGACGAAAGAACTCTATATCTTTTTTGGTGCGTTCCGAATGACTCGTGTCAAATGACGTTTTAGTTTTGAAGATTTCATAAACTCGTGACTGAGAACAACTTTGTACAGTACGCTTTGCTTCTTCTCTATTCCGTTTCCAGTGATGTTAGTAAAGCCGAATTTCAAAAATTCTTCTAAATATTTATGTTTTGTTTCAAATTACTAAGGTTTAGTATACCAGTTGGCGACCCCCCAGAAAGCCCTTCGCGACCCCCAGGGGGGTCGCGACCCCCAGGTTGGGAACCCGTGCCTTATAGGTAGCGCCGGCCCTGGCTATAATATCAGACTCTGATACACTGATAGGTAAAAATTCATTTAAAACGCCCGCGCGGGCATTGGGAGGGGTGAGTCAGAACAGAAGTCAGTTTGTGGACTGGATGAGTTCTGGGTACAACTGGGCATTTGCACGTTCAGTACATCAATGTACTTATTGGTTAGGAAACACGATTTTCATTTGTTTGCACACTAGTCCTACCTAGCTATTTTTTTTTTGTTAAAGTTAAATAGAACTACGAAAGGTCAGAAATTCAAAATCGAACTTTGAATGTCGCAAATCAAAGACATCAATTTAATATATTTGGCATAGATTAGCTAAAAAAAAAAAAGAGAACACGAACGCGTATACTGCAACGTTCTGAAATCAAATTATTAGTAGTAAAAATAATAGGGAAAAAACAAAGGCCTTGTCTGCAACAAAGATAATTTTATAGCGCCCTCGTGCGTCTTTCTAACCAACCAGCAAACAGCAGCTGAGTATAGAGCTGTGCGCCCAGCCATGAAAGACCTGCCGTCAGTGGCACACCAATTATCTATTTAGATGCCACCTGTACCCCAGCCAGTTGCTGAGGAAATGATACAACAAAGACCAGCGATACGAGTCAAAGGAAATAGCTGACTAGGCAAGAGAGTGGGGTGGGGGGATGACGGCACGTTCAATAAATCAATATCATGCCCTAACTAGTAGGGCCGTCCGGCATCCAGTACGAACGAAAAGGGATAACTAGAATTGTACACACAACAAAGCTAAGGTTATAGGAGTGAATGAGGTGGATTCATCAGCGCTTTGGGGTGAAACATGCTGTCAGAGCACTTATAGAAAAAAAAGAAAATTATAGCTGTCTTTAAAAGACGTGATTCCATCTGCCTTTTTTACTTTCTCGTATATACGTAGTATAGAGAAAGTATTGTAATCGTGCAAAAAAAAATCACCTCACTGATACGGAAAAACATAATTTTGCAATCTTGTCCGTATGTCTGTGTGTGTGTGTGTGTGTGTCTGTGTGTGTGTCTGTCCGTGTGTAAACACGATAACTTGAGTACCGTTACAGCTAGGTTGATGAAATTTCATATATAAGTATTTTATCAAAATCGTAGATCCGTATCAACTTTTGAGCGATTTCCGATAACCGGAAGTGGTACTTTTCCTACTTTGAATTTTTTTAAAGCCTATAACTTGAGTACTATTTCAGATAGATAAATGAAATTTCACATGTAAGTAAAAGATCTAATTCTCTACCTTCTGTTAAATTTTGAGTAATTTCCGTTGACAGGAAGTAGTAATTTACGCTACTTCCGATTTCTCAAAAAACTAATGTAAATTTTAAAAGTACTACTAATATTGCGCACTATTATGCGCTTTTTTATTTCGCGTTCACTTGGTGTGCAATTAATTTGTCTACGAGATTTTATTCTATTTTTAAAACTTTAAGTATTTAAAATGGATTTAAAATCATGTCTATAGCCCGAGTTCCCATCCCCTGTTATTTTATATAAAAATATTCGAGAAAGTTTAGGGGAGATCACTACCGGTTTATTTAAAATTCATATTTGTTGTATTGAATTTGTGGTTTTGTGTGTGTGTGTGGGGGGGGGGGATTTAGGTAGAATTTTAGTTAGATCCTTTTTTATAAAATACTCTAGACTTTAGGTTTTCATAATATTGACAATTCTGTAAATTTAGAATGTAATACATACTGATACACCACCCAACTCTGATGGGTACCTAACTCACGTAACTGAAAGTAAAGGCGGCTGGGCATAGTGCTGACCACACTATCTCTTCATATGCCGAGGTCACAGAAACAAGTGAACTCTACTTCACTTGCCCCATAGACCGTCAGGTTTTAAAAGGGAACTTTACTTACATACTGATACTATTTTTGTAGTAGAAATAGTATATGTTGTGTATGTTCTGTTAAGCTTTCCAATATATTTTCATTGTTTTCTTTCTGCTTAAACCAATCTTACACTTAGCAATTATTGTTAGCCATGATGGTGTAAAAAGCTATTATACTCTCACATGATGCTATTCCATTATTTCATTTCTGTACATTTTCATTGAATCGCCTTGTGTTGTTTGCCAGGAGAGGGAAAGCAAGCTGTTTTTGTTTTGCTTACTTTATTTTTGTAACCAGCCGTGTTATTGAGGAATGGCAGGTGATGCAAGTTAATTTTTAGAATCAATTTGTATACACTGTTGTTTTGAAGGTAGCTGTATGTAATGCTCTTAAAATATTTTGTAAACAAACATACATATCTGCCTTAACATTTACTTGGCTATTGATGGCTGCAGCAAAGCCTAGCCAACAATGGCTAATATATATACACAAACAAATATGCATTTATGTACACACAATATATTATCAACCCTGTATTTTGAATGTGTGACAATATTTTTTAAAACTGATTCATTTGAATATAAACACTGCCTGTAATTAAAGTGTAATATTTTACTTGAACTTAGTCGTTATGGTGCAGGTTCGTCCACACTACCACCCAAGCGCCCTGGTTTGGCTGTACGAAAGTCTTGAATGTATGTTTGTTACAGTGAGGCAGACACCTCTTAGAGACCACTCAAGTGTCAGGGGCGCCGCAGGCCCCACATGGGAGCCTCTGGTTTGGTTTAAATATCATTGTAGGCTGCTCTTTAAAATGTAAGTAGGTGCCATAGGGCTAAGAGGGGAGCCCCACATCACCAGGCTGCAGAAGACAAAGTGGCTATACTGATGACAGACTTGCACACTACCTGGCGGCTTATACTATAGATACATACACCCTTTTAATTTTAATCATTGCAAATTTGAAAATGTCGAGTTTTCTATTGTTCAATTGTTCACATAATTCAGTTATAATAATAATCACTGCTTTGTAAGGTGGGACTTGGTGACATAGGAACTTAAACAGCAACAAAATTCAACTCTGTTAAAATCTCCAGTGGAGAGTATGCCATATACAAAACCCTTCTCTCCTAATTTTGCCTCTTTCTGCATTTTTCAACACAAGTGTTTTCAGAGCAACCTCTTTTTTGTATCCATGTTGATTCAATAATGACTTGTTTGGTAATACTTGATTCTTTCCTCAACAAATGGTCAATCCATCCAAAACATTTTCCGAATTTCTTACTCCACAGCGATTTGTACTGTTGTGTTAAGTACTTTATATTTAATATTCACTGTACGCAGCAAGTTATAAAATATAGCAATCTAATCACTAGCTTTATGCATTGTACAATAAAGTAGAATTAAAAATGTACAAGTTGATATTAGCTTTTTTGCTTACAGCTCAGTATATTTTTAATCACTCAAGAGCCAAGAAACATTCCTGATACTGAGTTTTCTAACACCTACATTTCTATTACATAGGTTTATTTTGTAGCCACAATGTAAGAGGAATACATAATTACCTTATCGTGTCCACTATTTCCTCTGGTCCTTCTTTACCTTCCTGGAATATAAATAATTAAAATAAACATTTTAAGACGCAAAAATATCAAAATAAAGCAAATAGGTATAAATATCTAATGATATCTACAAAGCAAACGGGTGTTGGGAAATTATGAGATGCGAAAAGCGAAATGGCGAGGCGGGAAAATGCGAGACATACCTAAGGAATTAAGGGTAAATAGCGAGACATTTTGCGAAATAAAGTATTTTTCATGCTTTTTTCATATTTATTTAAGTTATTTTTTTTGTTTTAAAATAAACAAGCATGTAGCCATACCCTTTAACAGGAGTGTTGTATGTTGTTATTTTTTATCTAGAATTTATTATATATATTATATATAGTTTTAACAATGTAAACCAAATGTCTTTGAAGTCTGCACCAAATACCACGGGTGCGGTAAATTTTTCGCAGAAATCTTTGCATTTTAACACCACCTAGCATAAGTATCGGGTTGTGGTAATATGCGAGACAAAAAGTCACGTGACTGATCGTTTTCCCCGCCTCGCCGTTTCGCAACACCCAAAGCAAACTAAATACCACTGCATGATATCAAAATTGAATCAAAATAAAACAATTCAGATTAATATTATTTAGGGCCTTTTAGTCTTTAATAACAGTTGTCATTACTGGCAAATCCAGAAATAACATCAAAATATATTATTTAGTTGTCCATGCCCCCCCCCCCCCATTTACAATATCACTAATTACTTAGGCCTCAGGCTAGATAGGCCAACAGTTTTTTAAAGTTTAAAATGTGGGCCCTCATCTGTTGCATTGTTCCACAACCTGGACAGGGTCTTGCATGCTCTACTATGACATGACATATGGTAACCTACTGCTGGACTAAAGTAAAGTAGACAATGAGCAGGAAAGGCAGTGACACAGGTCAGTAAGAGTATAGGCTGAACATGAAGAGATATGTTCATGGTGGCTACAACTACAAATAATATTATGGGGTCATCCATTAATGCTGTCCACACTGTATAGTGCCTGGGGTCTAAAAATAAATGTATTTCTACAGATGGGTGTGGGATGGATTAGGAAAGGGGGGGGGGGGGCCTAGAAATCTACAATTATAATATAGATCTATCTAACTAATATCTGGAGATGTAGCCTCAGCCTGTGCTTATCAAAAATATTAGTCTGTATTTAAAATACATAGATCTAAAAATAGGCCTGCTAGTCTAGATCTACTGTCGTAATCACTAATCAAATCATAAATTTCAGATGATTATAGATACCGGTGTCCAATAATGGAATCTTTTTTAAAAAAAGGGGTGCCGGGTTGTTTTTATTGTGATCTCGACTAATTTAATGGTTAGAAATTAGGGTTAGGCGTATGGAAGGACCAGGGTTGGGGTTAGCATTGACATTAGCCAGCCATGTGTGTATTATTTTGTTAACTACCAGTAACTAACCTAACACCCCTTTTTACAGGAGATTCCATTATCGGATGCCGGTATAAACATTCTCTTATAGATACCGGTGCCCGATAGTAGACTCTTCCATAAAAAAATAGGTATGTTGGGTAGCTAGTATTAGGCCTATTGTTATCTCGACTAATTTTATGGTTAGAAATTAGGGTTAGGCGTATGGTAGGACCAGGGTTGGGGTTAGGGACAAGTCACAGGGTTAGCATTGACATTAGCCAGCCATGTGTGTATTAAAAAGGTAGGGTTGTCGGCATCCGCCGAGTTCGCGGTAAAAACATGACCCGAAATCGCCCATTACTTTCTGATACCGGACCCACGAGATTTGGTTTTGCATACTAATAAGTTTTTAATTTATGGTAATTAATTAAGTTTAAAAGGTCATTTCCTAAGGTTAATTAAAAAGTAGAGTGGTTGTCCCTTAGTTTTAATGGCTTTGCGACCTGATTGCATGCTGTCTCTGCTTTGGTCTTCCCCCCTGTATCAAGGTTAGTTTCAAATACGTTGGAATCTCGATTTTTTAAAAGATTCCTCTAGATGAGAGTAGATTACTGATCAGACATATCTTAAGTAATTGGAAATGAAATTTGTTTTTGGATATTTTGACTCCGACATTAGTTATACCCCTCCGAACGTAGTCACTGTATGTAGGTCACGCTGCCACCATTGTTATATTTTTTCATCCCGATCTTCCTGCCTTTAAGTTTGATCAACTAATAACAGCAATCTTATGGCATGTGCCAACAAATCTAATTTTTTATTTCAAAATATATTTACATACCCATCTTTAATTTTTTCAGCTCTAGTTCTATCTAGTTTTCTAGAATATGTTTTTCCTAAAAATCCAATTTTGTCAGACTAGACTCTAGACTGACAAGAGTCAGACCTAGATCTAGGTTACCTGTCTGTTGCTATACACTAACATTGTGCTAACTGTAATTTTAAGTATTCAAGTTCTACTTACCCTTAGATATAGTTATATGCTGAAAATCAGAATCCATACACAATTCACACATAAAAACATTGATCTGATAACTTCATTTCACTTATTACAAAATGGCTTTTATATGGACTCTACTTCACCTGCCCAAAATAACAAGGCAGTTATAGACACATTACAGTGTTCATGTCATTTACTTTAGATTTCTGACTATGGAGTTCTTTCATTCACTGTATTTATATAAAATATTGCTTTAGAAACATTTTCATATTTGCGCAGCAGTTTTATAACAAAATGGCTTAAAGATGGACTCTACTTCACCTGCCCAAAATAATGAGGCAATTATATGCACATAACAGTGTTCAAGCCATTTACTTTAGATTTCTAACTTTGTAGTTCTTTCATTTGCTGTATTTATATAAAATATGGCTTTAGAAACATTTTCATATTTGCGCAGCACACAGTTTTTTGGGGTTATGGGAGGAAGCCAACACAAAAATATAAGTTCTGTATTATTTTTATTAATTTCAACAGCATTTACAAGTTCTATATATCATCCTAGTTAAACTCTGCAAATATGAACAAAATACAACTGCAAGTAAAATAACTATGCTCAATTTATTCAGGTATACCATGACTTGTCACAATTGGCCAATGCAAAAGCAAGGGGATTCCACCCCTCACAAAAAAATTCGCCAAAAAAAAACTATTTGAGCTAGACAGAAAATCTTTTTTGTTTTGTTTTCATATAGTTGAGCTCTACAAGAATATGTAATTTTTATTTTTATATGATGATTAGTGTTTTTTCACTTAATCCCTAGTATTATTTAGTTAACTACCAGTAACCTAACACCCCTTTTTTAAAGAAGATTCCATTCATCAGGCCTATCGGCCTATAGGTTACAGGTATAAAATTCTCCCGTATCAACTTCCAGATCTCTGGTCTAGATTTCTAGCGATGGCATTGTGCCTTGTTGTAACAACGTAATGTATTAATGTAATGTTACAATTTAAATTTGTAAAATTATGAATAGGGCAATGCCATAGGCCTAGCTACTAGAATCTAGATCTACTGCAAATTCAAAGCAATCGTACACGATCTAATAATAAATTCTAAGAAATTAGTGAAGTACATTGAAATTTAAATCTAGATAGATCTAGATCTAGTTAGATTGCTAGATCTAGATATCTAGACCAGAATAAAAGACAAGAAAAGGTGTGGGATGAGGAGGTAGTCAAGACAGGACAGTGGTACACAACCGTGCCGCGATCAGTGCGGTATCTGGCACATCACTGAACAAATTATTCGACTAAGTAAAAAATAACTCACCGAAGTTGCAACGGGCCATTTTAATATTAAGGGCTCTGCTCCAACTGGACTATGCAACTTCAACTTTTGCGCCATATTTCCACCTTTCTATTAACTCAAACTCTTCCATGAAATGGTCAAATTCTGAAAAATAATTTTCACAACTTGACCATTTCCACTCTCACAATTGACCCACATTTGGCGTCGGAAGTCTCGTACAAACTCGCTCTATAAATAGCCTAAATGTCAATAGTCACACGTCTTCGCCTAGTTTTGTGATTGGCTTAAAATTACTTTCGGAATCCCTTTCTTTCTTCCTTCGAGCTAGGACCTAGCCTAGGCAAACTTAGGCCTTATATTAAAATGTAATGACATTTTATGCTTTTAGATGTTAAAATTAACGTACTAAAATAAGCCCACCTTCGAAGCAATATGTTGATCCAATATATATTATAAAACGTTAAAAATATGGTTGTAGATAGGGAACTACATTCTTTTCAATGCGTCTTATTTTTTGTTGATTAAGCATCCATCAATTTCGCCAATTTACAGAATAGCCATTCTGGTTGTTATTTTTTAAATTCTTTTTGTAGTATTTAATTTTATATTTAAACATAAAAAAAATGCGACATTTTAAAAACATTATTTGAATATGCCTACTTTAAAAAACCTGGCATAGAATTTTTGTGTGACCCGGAACTTATTATTTTAAATGGCGGCTAATTATAAACTATAAACATTAGCAGTAGACTGTACTGTAGACTCTAAACTCACAATAATACTTAAAAATAAAATAGAATGCAGTCTTGAAAGTAGACTTCTTGTCATTACTTTAAGGTTTAGTGTGTGTAGATCTACATGTTTTAATAATGGTATGTATTGTTATTAGTTGTTAAATTATATTAAAAATTCATTAGGGCCTAAAAAAAAAGTAAGTAAAGAAAAAAGAAAGAGTGAGTTAGGCTAAGTTAGGTAGAACTGTTTGTTACTGTTACACTCACTACTGTGTACTAGTACTGTACTCAACTGTACTGTTACAGTGTTACTGTGTGTCAGACGTGCCTACCCCTTTCAGCCAAAAGTTAGAAAGTCATGCCTAAAAACTAAAACTAAAAAGAGGAAATTTGTAGCCAAAAAGAGGAACATGGACGCTACTTTACTAAATCAAAAATGAAAATAAATAGGCCCTATAATTATAATGACTGACATTAGTAAGCTTCTAGTCCTACTATTATACTACTATATAACTAGTCTCTAGGCTACATTTAAAATTTAAATACTGCTTATCATTTAATGTCCGCTTACATTTTTTTTTAAAGTTAACCAGAAACCGCCCCCCCCCCCCCCCCCTAATAAAAACCATAGCTTTAACATAACATTATTTAGGCATTTCGACTTCCGCTGTTTCGATTCGGTACGACCACATCCTGACTTTTTCATCATACTTGTTGAAATTCGCCATTTTTTAACATGTTAATTCTCGCAATCGGAATCGAAGAATAAAATGTATTCGATGTGAATATTTGAGTTGAATTTCATCTTTTATACATACTAATAAATGAATTAGCTCCCGTTTTACATTGTCCGATACCGAAAGCGATCACCGATAATAGCAAATATTTGTCGAAATGCAGAACTGGCGCATTGACAACTAAATTTCACATATAAATAATCCTTTAAGTTGCATGAAAATAGGCTTAAATAGCATGCCAACCATTTGGATAAATAGAAATGTCAATTTGAAGGGTTTTTAAGCACGGGCCAGTGAGGAGTAGCGCGATAAAACTCGTAGGGGTAGGAACGAGAAAGCATGCGTAATTTCAAAATGGCGGCAGGGTTACGAGATATTAATAGATATGCGCATACGATGTTTTTTAATAGCTGTTTGTTTTTAAATGGGCTTTAAAATAAATATAGAATCTACTGTAGATATAAATTATTGGATTAAAAATGGAAAGAATGTAATTAGGCCTAATTACTAATTGCTGCCTAAATAAATTATAAAATTTTAAATTAGCCAGCAGATTTTTATTAACCTTCTTAATACCAGGTTAACTAGATCTAGCAAACTAGCATTAACGAATTGCAGATAAATACTAAATAGGCATTTTTAGGTAGAAAAATTATATATTTATTGTAAACAGTTTTTAAAAAATAGAATTAGATCTAGATCTAAATGGAAATGAAAACACTAAAACAATAATGGGTCTAGAGATGTGTAATAATATTATATATATACTAGCGTACCTGTCCCCGCGCGTTGCCGCGGGAATAGAAGATAGTCCGACGAAATATATAAGAAGGTATTCATCCATGCGTTACCAATCCTATATTCTTAGACTCGTGACCTTGTTTTCTAAAAGTAAGTTATTTAAATGAAAACAATGCCTGCGCTTGGATAAAAAATACCGGGACACGGGTTTACCTACACTACCGCGTGAAAACCTTATGTGTACATTAATCACTCACCGAAATAATGAGGTAGAACACACTTCGGTGACCACCCATGTGTCAGGGACGTAGAGGGGCGCTCTCAGGAGCCCCCCCCCCCCCCCCCCCCGATTACACTATCGCATAGGCGCAGAGTACGGCCCCTGGCTCCTTAAAACTAACAGGCGCCATCGTGCTCATAGGATAACCCAGAGTACCAAATAGCATCCTGTAAACAATGATGCACATTTCATCATTCGCTGAAGTGACACAAATGAACAGGATTTTTTTTCTCTAACACGTAAAAATTATTTGACGTGTTTTAAACATCAGTGTGACTGATGCAATATGGTAGCGTTACTAATGGTCTATTATTAGATGCTCGATCTCAATTTCTGACTGGATCGTCTAATAATAGATACTTATTGCATCATTCGCAAAGTGACGAAACTCTACAGTAGGCTCCTCATATTCAAAAAGTTATTTTTTCATCTTTCGCAAGGTGACGAAACTGTACAGAAGGATTTCCTCGCGTTACAAAGTTATTTTTTAGAAGCCTGTTGTAGCTTTACCGCTGAATATAGTAGTACCCCTTACTCGCTATGCAGGACGCTCGATTAACGGATGCCAAGTGCCAACATAGTCGCTCTAAAACTTTAGGCGCCAAACCGTGTATTGACGAAAATTGTACCCTACATGGCGCCGCCCATAAGAAACTTTAGTTTTCTTTTTCGCAGAAATATTCTCAGGAGTATTCTCATCTACTCCATAAAGTTTCATGGCACTCGGATGAACTGCATCCGAGTTTTATTTTTTATATACCGTGTATAGAGAAAAAAATCGCTCTCCCTCTGGGGCGCCGCCCTTGCAATATTAAATTCTTTTTTTACAGAACCCTACCATTGAGTGATCTAATCATCTCCCCAAAGTTTCATGGTACACGGATGAACGGCGTGAAACCAAAATAGACTTATATTTTTATAAACCGCAAAATAGAGAAAAATCGCACCCTCCCGTGGCGCCGCCCTTACGAAATTAAAAAAGGAGTTTTTTTTTTAAAGAAACCTTCCCTGGAATGTTCTAATCAACTTCCCAAAGTTTGATGGCGATCGGATGAACGCCGTTAAACCGCAATCGACGTTTATTTTTATATACCATATATAGAGAAAATTGCACCTTCCTGTGGCGCCGCCCTTGCAAAATTAAAAATTATTTTTTACAGAACCCTTCCCTAGAGTGGTATAATGAACTCCCCAAAGTCTCATGGCTATAGGATGAACGATGCCAAACCAAAATCGACTTTTATTTTTATATACCGTATATAGAAAAAAACAAATCGCGCCCTGTGGGGGCGCCACCCCTGCGAATTTGAAATTTTTTTTTCCGCAGAAACCTCCCCAGGAATATTCTCAACAACTTCCCAAAGTTTCACGGCGATGTGATGAGAGGTGTAGTAATGCATAAAGGACACACAAACACACAGACATACATTGCTTTTTATATATATAGATAGGCTATATATATATATATATATATATATATATAGGCCTATATATATATATATATTATTACACATCTATATATATATATATATATATATATATATATATATATATATATATATATATATATATATATATATATATATATATATAAACTATTAGGCCTTAATGTAAATACTGACAGGCCTATCTATAGTATCTAGATCTATGAAGTACTATAAAGGGCCTAAATTAAAAAATAATAATGCCCAATTTTTCAAGCTGCACTGCATTACAGTTTTAGTTATAGGCAAGTATAATAGAAAGAAAACATGAACACTTTAATTTATGTCATTTAAGAATTTATCAAAGGATACATCAACTTCACTAAACATTTTATAAATAAGAATACTGTGAAATGTCAATCTTTGAGTTTTAGCACACCTCAACACTTTTCATCAGAAACATTACAAGAACCAAAATTTTCTAAATTAATAATAAGATTTTTACCATGTCATACACGGACACAAATCCAATGTTTATGGCAAATCGTTAAGTATCTTGATCATATTGTGCTGTATTTGACTTGTAAGTTCTAACTCTATACATTACCTGTACAATATGTATACTAGCATTCTTATTACTAACACCAGAATCAATATGTAAAGTTTAATCTTTATTTTTATAGTAGCAACAAAGAAGTGCAACATATTAGCCTGTAGTTAATCATCATAGTCTAATTGCGCTGTACCATATTCAAGTTCACTATTTATAGTTTTCCTCTAGCTATGTTTATTTTACTTGCATGATTGTATTTTTTACATGCTCTAGTCCTAATATATAAAGTTTCATGATGGTATATGGAATAGCAACCTAGCTGTGCAGTCTGGAAATCCTCTTATGGCAGTCACTATAGAACAGTGCCACACCCCTTAATTTAACTTTATTATTTTTAGTTACCTCTTTTCTAATTTTTATTTTATTTGTAGACTTCTATTGCCTATATCATTGAGTACAAATGTGCAAAGTTTTATCATTATATCTTTAATAGCAACATTGGTATGCAAGTTTAAAGCCAATCACACGTCTGGAATGCAGGTTACAATGAAACATAACAAGTTAAACACATAACTTTGAAAATTCATATAAAAAAAACTATTAGGCCTAGAATGATAAATTTGATATTTTTATCAATGGGGTATATTACAGTATTAATCTGGGTCCATTTTATCATTCTATGATAATTAGGAAAAATTTACCAATAGGCCTACATTATTGATTTGATCATTTATGCCTTGCTATGTTCTAGGCTATATTAATATGAATAACAAATGCTGAAGGCTTCATCATCTATATATATAAAGCAAAGTTGTCGGGTGCCCGAAAGGGCACTTCCCGGCGCCGCAGGCGCGTCAAATTTGGCACGATGGTGCCTTGGGGCGATAGAACACGAGGGCCGGTGACGGTTGGCCGAAAAGTCTACGGAGAGGGGGTCAAAACTGACCTCGACTGACCGGCGCCTTATATGGGCTATATTACGAAAAAAAATTTCCTCCGACGACCCCCCTTGATATTTTGTGAGGTGGTAGGAGAACGCCTTGGGGTGTTACAAAAAACTCGCCATGTCCGGGAAAAATCGGGAAATGGGTCAAAACTGACCAGTCGTATTTCCCTATATAATCTTTGTATTTTATGGGAAAAACAGAGGGTCATTTCAAAACGGATTTTAGGGCACTTACCCTCTTTACATCTGGCTAATTTTTGGCATGTTTATAGGTAAATGGCTTGGCCGTAGGGCAGACCTGTCGGTCTCACTCAAAGCCCTCGACGAGGGCTAAAAAGTGACCGCGAGTGAAATTCTCTTTATATGAGCTCTATTACGAAAAAAAATTTCCTCCGACGACCCCACTTGAAATTTTGTGAGGTGGTAGGAAAACGCCTTGGGGTGTTACAAAAAACTC